TACACCATAGCAAACTGCATTTTTACATAATGAAAATTAAATATTTCTACACAATTAGTATAATATATTTTACACAGAATAATCTTTTATCATAGTGTTATCAAAACATCTCTTAGCATAATAGGAGTGGAAGTGCATGTAAAATTAGACTAATCAAATCATAAACACGAAAATATTGGATTTGAAACCTTAAATTTAATTTTTTTTTATTTTTTTTTTAAAGCGTAGTCAAATTTATTCGCCTAACATCTCTCTGGTTTTAACCAATTTTTAGTTTCCATGTTAAAAATATATTTTTTTTTTCGTTTAAGGCGTTACGGTTTTTAACACACACTTCTATAAACATATTGTCCTTTCAAGGCTGTCCAGGTTTTAACATGCATTTCAAGAAAGTAAAAGCCAGAAATGTGACCATGAAGACCTTCCTAAATCTCACTGCCGAAAGCAGGATTTCCTGTGCAACTCAATGTGCCAAGAATCGTGTTGACTGCTACAGTTACACTTACCACAACCGTAAATGTGTGCTACGTAATAATTTTTAATATAAATTTTAATGTTTATGGCAAAGCAAATGTTCATGAAAGAATTTTTTTTCCCATTCAACACTTAGGATTAATTAATTGAATACTGTGTTTTATATTTGATAATATGTGGATCGTTGAAGAAATATTTGCATTTTAAATTACCTTTAAATGATTATGTCTCTGGTTCACCACAACCTCCAGGTGCATCACTGTGGCGCGACAGCCCATCTAGAGCTTTTGGCATAGCTCACCACTTCCTTCCACTCTGAACTAACTGACACTTTTCTTTTGCATGTTTGGATTCCCAGCGGCTGTGGATCTTTTCTTCACATCATCCCATCCATACATCTAAGCCTAGGTCTACCTTTGACGTATTTTCCTCTGCTCAGGCCAAAGACCTGCATGGGCTGTAGGGACACACGGATGGATAGACATTTGGAAATAAAAAGATATCTAATAATTTCAGTTGCAAGAATCGAAATGTAATTCAAATTTCAAACTTTTTAAAAAATCGAAATCCTTTAGCGGTAAAGTTTAAAATCTATTGCCAGAAACCTATAACATAAACACCAACTTCTTGAACCATCAAATCATTAAGATGACATAGTTGAGAGGAGAACCCCCCCCCCCCCCCCACAAATGCAAGACTGAAACAAAAAGTAATGTGAAAATCATATATCTTAAAATATTTTACTGACGTTACACATGTTTTGTGGCTAACACCGCCAAACACAACGCTGGACGCCAACACACATCCGCACACTGTCGGTGGTTTCTTCAACGTCACAGAAGAGTTCCAGGTTCTAAAGAAAGGGTCGTCAAGTGCCTGTGTGAGGTTGTCCAGTGACATGAAGAACTTCAGTGACGCACGTTCAGCGTGTCAAGGTCAGGCAATTAATTTATTGATGTTTGTTATAGCATTAATGTTAATCCTAAATTGGTGATAAGTGTACCTTAAGGGGGGGGGGGAAGCTTTAATAATCTCACCCTTGTACTAGAATTGAATGACGCCCTCACCCTTCTGTGCTTGGTGTAAAGACTGATCTTTATTCGACACTCTCCACTTTTTCTACACTTCACATTCATGATCACTCATTCCATTTCCCCACGGTTTTAGGTTTAAGCCATTCATGTCTAAAAAAAGCTCATCACGTCCAGTCATACCACATCACAACAACAACACAGGCCAATAAGGTCATCAAGTTCACTCACTGCTCACAGTTAGTCATACATAATATCACAAACCAGACAACCTTTTTCGGATACTACATGCGCCTAAGTTTTTTTAAATTCAATTTTATATTATTGTTTGTTCGCAGAAAACGGCTTCTTGCCAGTACGTTCATTGTTTCGGTGTAATTCTTTTTTTTTAGGTATATTTTGTTTCACTCATTTCCAAGTAAAAGCTTGACGAAAACCACAAGGGGGTAGATGAAAACCAAAAATGAACAATAACAAAAAGTGAACGTTTCTGCCAAAAATCCTTCGACACAAAAAACAGTTAAAGACAGAGACCCTCTAACCATAAACTTGTATATAAGTAGTGTAATCCTGGAAACTGTAGACATATGTAACTAAGAAAGTGCTTGCCAAAGACCTTGTTGTCTTTTATTATAATTCTGTTGTGTTTTTTTTTTGGGGGGGGGGGGGTGGGTGGGGGTTTTTCTTTTTTTTTTCGGACTTACTGGCTCAGCTTTAAACTGGTTTCAATCTTATCTTTCTGACGGAACTCAAACAGTCCCTATCTCCAACCGCCCTTCCAAACCTTCAGCCCTGTCTATTGCAGTTCATCAAGGATCGGTCCTTGGGCCGGTCCTTTTCATCCTCTCTACTAAACCTCTATCATCTTTCATTAGTCACCACTCAGGTAAGTCAATCCTTTGCTGATGACAATCAAATCAGTGACTCTTGCTTTCCTGATCAACTTGATGCCTTAATCCTTCGCATACAGAAGTGCGTGTACGACGTAAAGCGTTGGATGACTTGCAACAAACTGAAGCTAAATGATGATAAATGAAACCCTTCTCATCCACTGTCAAAACAAACCTCTCCCTCCATTCGCTCCTTCTTCTATATCTATCGGCAACCCTGACATCAACTCTCTTCCTGTGCGAGCAACCTTGGAGTCACGCTCACAGACACCCTCTCCATGGACAAACATGTCACGAATATATGCAGATCAGCATACAACGAACTTAGAAAAGTCAGAACCATTAGACACCTACTGTCCTTTGATGCCACAAAAACTCTCGTCTCTTCACTCATTCTCTCAAAATTTTACTACTGTAACACTCTTCTTGCAGAAATTCCTCAACACCACATATACAAACTTCAGAAGGCACAGAACTCAGCATGCAGACTCATTTTTAAAAAAGAAACATGACCACATTCAACCACACATGCGGCAACTCCACTGGCTTCCAATATCCTCTCGCATCAAGTACAAGTCTGCCAATCTATGCTTCAACTTGTTCACTGACCCTCACTTTCCTGTCTATCTCTCTGAACTGTTGCTTCCTTACACCCCCACAAGACAACTACGCTCTTCAATTTACAATAGAACCCTCTCAATCCCAAGAACCAAAACTAAGACCATCGTTGAACGCTCCTTCTACTTCCATGCGCCCACGTTCTGGAACCAGCTCCCCTTCCATATCCGTCATTGTGAAACCTCGTCCACTTTCAAAAAGTCCCTTAAAACCCATCTGTTTAGGTCCGCCTATGACTTGTGATGCACCCTCCTTGCCCTGCCTCATTTTCTGTCTCGGGTTGATCCTGTAGTATAGGCCAAAACGTGCCAAAGTGTACTCGTTTTTTATAGTCATTTTAATGTTTAAGCTACTGTTTCTATAGTCATTTTTCCCATTGTAGTTACTATTCTAGTGTCTCTTTTTTTCATGTTTGCCCCATTTGTCCACCCATTTCATAAGACCCTTCAAATCTGCTTGGAGGTGGTTGTGGTCATCGTAGCCATTTATCTCTCTGTAGACAAGACAGTCATCTAGAAACAGCCTCACTTGTGATTTTACAGTATCAGGGAAGTTATTTATATGACAGAGGAAGAGAAGGGGGCCCAGCACTGTACCGTGAGGAAATGACTGAGTCCACAGTGGCTTTGCTTGATCGGACGCCATCCACCACTACTTGCATGGTCCTTTGTGTTATGAATGTTGAGAGCTAGAAGTGATGCAAATTACACGTATATCAAGAATTAATAATACTACGACTCTATGTTTATTCGTAACTAATTGAACAGTGGCTTGGAGGCAGAGCTATACAATTGACTTGTGTTAGTTTGATCAAGAGATATTATATTTCCTTTTCGAATAGATATAGGTTAATTTTATGATGATTTATATGAAGGTTTTATTAATTATATTATGGAATAATCTTCTAGGATTAATATCGCATTAGCATTCCAATTGCACTCAATACAAACTTATTACATTAATTTTGTTAGTTGTTAAGTTTGGATTCTTAATATTTGTTGGTATTTTCTTGAAAAAAATTGATCACATCAGTCCTTGTTATTTATATTGCACTCTACTTTCTAATTTTCTTCTGTCTGTTGTCCAATTTAAATGCAGACATCACTTATGCAGTTGTTGTCCAGTTTATATATATATATATATATATATATATATATATATATATATATATATATATAAATATATATATATATAGTCTATATATTTGTATATAACTTGTTATTACCATAAGACGTTTTTTCTTGTGATATTTTTTTTGTACAGTTTATATATATATATATATATATATATATATATATATATATATAAGTATATAAATATAAATATATATAGTCTAAATATTTGTATATAACTTGTTATTACCATAAGACGTTTTTTCTTGTGAAATTGATGTCCAATCACAGTCCAGAACCAACCGAAAAAATCAGAGAAGAAATCAAGCAACAAACGCCGGACGAGTTCCGTTGATTTTCACCTTGGTTTGTATGTTAAGCGTAACGACACTGTTACAAAATAATGTCCTCTTCAACTCCTTTGCCCAGTGTAAAAATACGCTTTTGGCTCAGATGTCAAAAATTGGGTGTCTTATATCATGCAATAATTAATAAACCAAAGTATTTTTTATTTTATTTTTTTTATCTACAAATTCACGTCACTACTTGGGTAAATTTTTACCTCCGGTAATTCCCAACAAACATTGGTTGAGATAGCACTAAAAAACACACACTAATGAAATGTGCTCTTATCTGTCGTATTGTCGACACCCATTTCATCAAATGAACACAAACATAAAGCTATCTCAACACACTGACTAAATGATGAGGAAGCCAATATAATTTTATTGAGCTTCTTTTGGATACAACAACTTGAAAATGGAGAACGATAGAACTGGAGGTAATAGGGAGGTTCACAGCGATAACTCTGAAGTGTCTTTCAAATACGTGGTGGCTGTTCTATCGGGTTTAAACCTGTGTCTTCTGGCTGTCATTATAGTGTTCTTAACACAGCCCGAGTTGGAATCAAACGAACCGGAACAGGAAAAGGTAGGAGTTTGTTCATTTTTAAAGTTACGTACACAAAAGACTGTTAACAATATAACTTTAAGAACATTTTGAGGGCCAAGCTATAATTCCTGATGAATTAAAATACAATAGAAGACATCAAGAACATTTGTAAAAGACCTATGACACACAATATTTATGATGCCTGCTGTATTCTGAAAGGGTCTACCTGACCCAAAATCACACTATACAACATAAGGGATTACATAGGATTTGTGGATTCCAATAAATCCACAAATGTTGGGTCCCCACATATTTTAAAATATATATGAAACGTTTTGTGAATTTGAGACAAAGGATATTTTATTTTAAAAAAACAACAACAACAACGGCGCCTTTGTTTTGCCCTTAGTTTCCTAAACACGTCAATGATGTTATAAAAATCAAGCTTCCACCCTAAAAGAGGCTCAATGTCTAACAAGAGCAGATTCCTGGTTCTCGCCTGTACCATAGTCAACATCATAACTGCATTGATCAATTTTAGCGTGCTGGATGACCTCTCTGCTGTTGGAACATTTACTAGAATTGAACAAAAGTACGCAATGCAATCATCACAATTTTTTTTAAAATTTCACACAGCTTAATTATGAAATTTCGTTTATCATTTGATTAGAGAAATTGACTTTGCTCCAAGTTTGGAGGACGAATTTGTAATAAATGAAAACATTTTTCCACCTAATAAGTCTCAGAAACAGTTGAAGAACATGTAATGAAAAAGACAGTGCAAGAACTTCCAATTTCAGCCTTAAACATGACGAAGTAATTTTACAAGAAGCTGAATATAGCTGCAATCTAATTAACTCCTGTAACGCGAGCCATGAGACCTGCTACAAAGGAAGCAATAAAAGTGTAAAAAAAAAAAGTTTTACAATACAGCTGCGCTCTCAACGCTTCTATACGCCTCGAAAATAGACAGTATATCAAAGCCATTTTAGGAAGCTAAGAAACTATCTATCAAAGCCATTTTAGGAAGCTAAGAAACTATCTATCAAAGCCATTTTAGGAAGCTAAGAAACTATCTATCAAAGCCATTTTAGGAAGCTAAGAAACTATCTATCAAAGCCATTTTATGAAGCTAAGAAACTATCTATCAAAGCCATTTTAGGAAGCTAAGAAACTATGTATCAAAGCCATTTTAGGAAGCTAAGAAACTATCTATCAAAGCCATTTTAGGAAGCTAAGAAACTATCTATCAAAGCCATTTTAGGAAGCTAAGAAACTATCTATCAAAGCCATTTTAGGAAGCTAAGAAACGATCACACGATGAGCCTCCACAAAAAATCTTCGACATCAAATGGAAGAACAAGATTCCGAACACTGAAATCCTGGCACAAGCATGTCTGCCTATGTTTTGTACTTCTCCTAGCTCTGTATGATTCCTTTCAAAAAAAAATATTTCGGCTATGAACGCATAACTTTAAAGTTTGATTTTAGATGCCTATTAGTTTCGACGACTTCAATGCGTTGCTAGATAGTTCGTTAACACAAAGTATACACAGTCTCAGTATCATCGTCAGTGGTGTGTCACGCTTGGGGTGCAGGTGTACCACGTGAAATCAAGGGATTCAAACTTGCAAGATTTTTTTTTTAAATTAACGTTGTCGTAACGTTAGGCAGAGTAGTAATTTCCCTCTGTTGCCATTTTTAACTGTCACCTGGCATCATGTCCCCACAACCTATATATATTTTTTAGAATCATAATTAGATTTGATGTTGCTGGTGTAAGCATGATCTTGTAAAACCTAATAAGTTAAAATTTGAATTTGGTTAGGTACTTTTTTTTTGTGTCGTCTTTAAATTGATAGGATTCTTGCTTTTTTTTTTTTTTTTTTTTTTTTTTTTTTTTTTTTTTTTTTTTTTTTTTTTTTTTTTTTTTTTTTTTTTAAATTTAAATCTGGCACATAGCGACACCTTACTAGCCTACTCATGATGCTTACAACGCAGGGTACATTTTCGTTCAAATTTTGACAGTTCTGCAGTTTATTTACCAACTTTGTGCGAAACGGCAACGTATGTCTCTCAGAACACTATCTGATGAACGATTCATCACACAATTTGTGTACAGTTTAACTTTTGCTGGTGTCAGTATGAACTCTGTACCTACATGAAGCTAAGAACACTGTACCTATAATACATGTCGCCTTGGCACATTTAAATATAATGAGATTTGGATGATGAGGAAACAGTACTTGTACACAACAGTGGTGATATTGAAGACAAATACAATTTCCAACCCTTGGGTCTCTATTTACTCCATAGCCTCGGAGTCTGCTCGGCCCTGTCTCAAACACATAGAGTCTTAACATTCCCCTTCATCAATCACTTTCCCACGAAACACTGTCCTGGCCCTATCAATCACTGTCCCATTTATCACTGTCCCATCAATCACTGTCCCATCAATCACTGTCCCATCAATCAGTGTCCCATCAGTCACTGTCCCACCAAACACTATCCCATCAATCACTGCCCCTTCAAAAACTGTCCCATCAAAAAACTGTCCTATCAATCATTGTCCCATCAAACACTGTCCCATCAAACACTTGACTCTCAAATTTTATCCAATCAAATACTATCGGATCAAACACTGTCCCATCAAAAACTGTCCTATAAAACAATGTCCCATCAAACAGTGTCCCATCAAACACTGTCCCATCCAAACGTTCCTCTCAAACACTGTCACATCAAACACTGTAACTTGAAACACTGTACCATCAAGAATTGTACCATTAAACACTGTACCATAAAATACAGTACCATCAAACACTGTACCACCCATTGACGTACTTAAACTTAATGAAACCATGCATGCTTAACTTAAAATCAATTGTAAAAAATCATAATTAAAAACAATTTTAAATTATTGAAAAGTATGATTACCATTATGTATATGATGTATATGTTTATGCGCAATGATTATGCGTTGCACAAAATAAATAAATAAAACATTTTTTTTTGAATCCTCGATTTCTTTAATATCAACACGAGGATGGCATAAATGAGTATAAAAGACAAGATGAGTCCAGCACTACTTATCACATGTTGTGGGAGGGGGGGGGGGATTTCCCGCTTGCAAATTTGGGGCGTGTGGCAATTCATTAATGGTAATAGAGATATTAATTATTATCAAGATCATTTGGGTCATTAACGTTATAATGCGTTGATATTGTCTTGGGTCACCAATTTCACCAGTGTCCCGATATTGTCTTAGGTCACCCATTTCACCAGTGTCCCGATATTGTTTTAGGTCAGCCATTTCACCAGTGTCCCGATATTGTTTTAGGTCACCCATTTCACCAGTGTCCCGATATTGTTTTAGGTCACCCATTTCACCAGTGTCCCGATGTTGTCTTAGGTCACCCATTTCACCAGTGTCCCGATATTGTTTTAGGTCACCCATTTCACCAGTGTCCCGATATTGTCTTAGGTCACCCATTTCACCAGTGTCCCGATATTGTCTTAGGTCACCCATTTCACCAGTGTCCCGATATTGTTTTAGGTCACCCATTTCACCAGTGTCCCGATATTGTTTTAGGTCACCCATTTCACCAGTGTCCCGATATTGTTTTAGGTCACCCATTTCACCAGTGTCCCGATCTTGTCTTAGGTCACCCATTTCACCAGTCTCCCGATAATGTTTTAGGTCACCCATTTCACCAGTGTCCCGATCTTGTCTTAGGTCACCCATTTCACCAGTGTCCCGATATTGTCTTAGGTCACCCATTTCACCAGTGTCCCGATATTGTCTTAGGTCACCCATTTCACCAGTGTCCCGATATTGTTTTAGGTCACCCATTTCACCAGTGTCCCGATATTGTCTTAGGTCACCCATTTCACCAGTGTCCCGATATTGTCTTAGGTCACCCATTTCACCAGTGTCCCGATATTGTTTTAGGTCACCCATTTCACCAGTGTCCCGATATTGTTTTAGGTCACCCGTTTCACCAGTGGCCCGATTCCCCTGGTGCACGATGTCGCCCCGACCAGTCCACCGCCGTGTCTGACCAAGGAGTGTGTAACCATGAGCAGCTACATCTTAAACAAGATGGATTTTTCTGTCAGCCCCTGTGAGAACATGTATCTCTACGCTTGTGGTGGACTGCATGCCAAAACTAAGTTTCATAAGTATGTGGACATCTATGCCCCTGTAATAACAGATGGACTTTTCGATTATAAAGTGGGAAAGGTATATTTTTTTAAAATGCTAAATTGTAAATTAAATCGTTTCTTTTGTATTGCTTTGAAATTAGATACAATTTAAACTTTTGTTTGAGCACAATTAAAATAGCGCGTCTGGTTGCAACGCCATGATGTAATTTGGTTTAAAAATGGCTCCTATATTCAACAATGCAAAGAGTATTTGTTATATCCTACATTATGAAGCGGTTTCCATGTTACGCTATGCTCTAAAAAGCTGCTTTCTTGCTACACAAGACAGTATAAAATTTTCTTTTGCTAAATATAATAGTTAAGAAAAATGATTTATTAACATCTTACGGTATGAAGCTATTTTATTTTTTACATCCATAAATTTCACTCGTTTGCTTCAAATTCATTATGCATCAACAGTATAATACTGTTACATTCTTGCATCAACAGTATAATACTGTTACATTCTTGCATCAACAGTATAATACTGTTACATTCTTGCATCAACAGTATAATACTGTTACATTCTTGCATCAACAGTATAATACTGTTACATTCTTGCTTCAACAGTATAATACTGTTACATTCTTGCATCAACAGTATAATACTGTTACATTCTTGCATCAACAGTATAATACTGTTGCATTCTTGCATCAACAGTATAATACTGTTACATTCTTGCATCAACAGTATAATACTGTTGCATTCTTGCATCAACAGTATAATACTGTTACATTCTTGCATCAACAGTATAATACTGTTACATTCTTGCATCAACAGTATAATACTGTTACATTCTTGCATCAACAGTATAATACTGTTACATTCTTGCATCAACAGTATAATACTGCTACATTCTTGCATCAAAAAGTACTAATAATGTTACATCCTCTAATGCGGGATGATATTGTTTTCGTTTAGCCCGTAAATCATATTTTCAAGGCAGGTCTCTGCCCCCCCCCCCTTCATTTCTTGGGCAGCCGACCACCAGGTGGTCCATCATTTCGTCGGCCTGGGAAAATATCGTCAGTTTGGATCCCTTCTAGTATCTAATCGGTGGAGATAACTGCGCGTAACACAATGGCCTGTCACCATCTGGATGATGACGCTGTAATCTTGTCTCTTGAGCTCCACCATGTATGGCTTTTGCTCAGTCTTGGCATTCTCTGTTAGAGCTGTCGTCCTGAATTCCCTTCAGCCCAGCCGTTTAGCTCACGCTACTGGGTCATTGATTTAGGACTTTACCGCCTTTGGCATGGATGCCTCCTATTGTATTCAGAATGGCGCAGATCACTGTAGTCTCCATCGAGCCCCTTGCCACACTCTTAAGAACAGAGCATGAGTCAATGAAGACTAGAATGTCGGGTAAGCTTTTTCTCCTTGCTAAGAATTGGGGAACTCTCTTAAAGGACACCAGCATCGCTTCTAGTTCGGCATCGAAGCTGTTTCTTTTTTTTTTTCACTGGGCTCCGATAACTCCTGGGGTGAAGCTATCTCGTTTGGGTATTGAATAAGTGCCTCGTATCTACAGTAAGGTTCTCGGGCGAAGCATGAGCGGTCCGTGAAGTCCTTGACTTTGCAGTTCGGATAGTTTTCAATCTTTCTTAGAGTTTTATCTTTGTTCTAATTGGGAGTTTGATTTTGCAAGTTCGAGACAAAGCTCAGGTAGGATTAGGCTTTCGTGGGGGACCCGTGCCGGGATCACCCTCACACTCTCATTGCTTTTGGGTAAAGCTAGATCTCCCTTGAGATCGTTGACCGCGTTCTTAAAGGATGGTCTCTTTAGCCTGACTTATTTATCCATTTGTTCTGTAACTGAAGGCAGGGTTCCTGCCTGTCCTTGCGCCGGTATCACTCAACCATCTTTAGGACTGCCTTTTTCCTTTCAGTATCGATTGTTTCTACGCCTGCTACAATTTCTACTGCGGCTATTGGGTTAGTGCGTAAAGCCCCACACACAAATCTTAGAGCTCGGTTTTGTTTGCGGTCCAGAGTTCTTGAGGCGCGCGGTGCGCAAAGATCTGGGGCGGGAAGCTGTAGACCATTGCACCTCTCTCGCTAACAAGATAGAGAAGTCCGCCCACGTGTGAAGCTTTAGTGAACCGTCTCCTCGTATTTACGACCATTTTCTACCCGTTAGTTGGGCCTTCCAATATGTCTAGGTCGCCCTAAAAGTGGATTTGCAGTTGTTTGACATCCTTACCTTAGATTCAAGCTACTAATAAATCAGCGAATGTGGCGTTCTGGGACTCCAACTGTTTGGTCAACAATATAGGCGAGTGTACATCTTAGGGCTTACAACTGCGCGAGTCCGTCCTCAAGGACAAGTTGATTTGACAAGCTTTGGTTAACACGTGGGCAATTAATCGGTTCTGAGGAAATTTCTCTGCCAATTTGTGAATCTGGACTTTATAAATGAGGCCCGCGAGCTAAACTTTGTCGTATGCCTGTTGAAAATAAAGAACACCGAGATCATGTGATTTCTAATTTCAAGTTCGTTGGTCATCAACGGATGAGTTGGTCCATTGGTTTGCGGCTCTTGCGGAACCCACCATGCGTTGGAGGGTGGCCCTGTTTCTTCTCTAAAAATCAGTAGAGTCGTGCATTTATCATTGGCTCAGCCACATTCCCCAAAAACGATATTAGAGAAATTGGACGGTGGCTGGCTGGCAAGTGTCGTGGTTTTCCTTATTGGCAATGAGAATGACTATTGCTTTTTTTACACGATTTCCGAATGCTGCTTGTAGTTCTATTTATGAGAGCCAGCACAATTTCTTTCGAGCCTTTCCCCAGGTGGCTTAACATTTTGTTTTGGACTTTGTCGGGCCCTGGAGATTTTTACATTTTGAACTTTCCTAGAGCTGTTCGCAATTATTGCATGGTGAAAAGTTCTGCCAAAAAATCTTGATGAGACCAAACACGTTGGGAACGAGTGCCCTTCCTCCTCTGGATTCTTACATTGCGACATTAGTCAGTCTCTTTGGCTATTTTATTCACTTGTGCGAAGTGCTTACTGGGCGGCCGTGTTCGTTTGGTGTCGCTCTCCTCAATCGATTTGTGGTTTTTATTGGATGGGTGTTCCTCGCCTTCCCCATGCCAGAGAGTTTCCTCATGAGTCACTACAATTTTCTAATGCATTTACACACTTTAATTTATTTGCCTTCTGAACTGAAGTCCGGACTTCAGCCATGCTCGAGCTGCATGTGTATTGTTCTTGACGATTTGTTCTGGGCTTTTTCTTGTTGCTTAATCAGTTCTTACGGGTCCTTTTCGGAATAGCTTGAACTTTTGATTCCCGTTCGTTTTGGGTATCGTCTTTGTTACGCACTGGCTTCTAATATGAGAAATTAATCTCCTATTTTAATTGTATTGGCTCGTTGTAAACAGTACCTAACAAAGAACGATACCATAGAGTCAACAATAGTAGAGATACGAAACCAAAACAAATGCTAGTTACAATTAATAAGATTTATTAAGTCTTAAGATAATTACAAAAGAAAAGAAAATATATTGACAATCTTCAACTTACAGTATGGTAGATCTTGTACCGGTACACAGTTAACACAGAATAATGTGCCAATGAATAATGATGAAATGCGAAATAAACACATATGAGTATGAGCACACAAATACACAAAGAATAATACATGCCTCGTAAAGTTAATAATATCTATCTGAACCTCTGTCTCTCCGTATCTGTCAATCCCTTATATACGTGTAGCGTAAGACGCTTCCAGAAAAGAATTATGAGGTGTTGTTAACATTTCTCGGTTATCGTGAAGATTCGACAAGATACCAGGAGAACATACTACCCAAAGTGTGATTGGCAGTGGTTGTAAACAAGATACGTCAAATAATTTTTAAACCACGCCCACAACAAACGCTACCGTCTGCTAGGGATCTAATTTAGGCCAAGCAAGGCTCACGCACGGTAAATGTGTGCTACATAACTGTCTTACATGCGGTGCTCCGGATTTCACCATTACACCTCATGTAGATGAAATCGATTTAGCCGGATTCAACATCTATTTCATTGATCATGGTCTTCGACTTTTTCTCAACCGTCCACATCCAAAAGGAGCAACTGGTCCTATTCGAAGCAGGCTTTAGTCGTGCCAAAGGTGACCTCTAACATGTTAGAGAGTTGTTGCTTCTTATTTCACTTGCAACTTCCAGACTGTGCTTGGACTCGAGGTCTGCTGAGATAAGCTTTAGTTCCGGGCGTTGCTCCATGCTGAGACTCGTGTGAAGAAGAGTGGGCGCACTCTCTCCGTCCTGAAGACTGATTAGGTTTGTCTCAAAGCAGACCTCCTCGATGCATCTCCCGGGCGTGTCCCTCTCTACATATGCCAACATTAGCGATTGGACGTAAAAGTCTACCGCAATAACACTATTTTCTAACACTGTCTTCCCCGCGGTAGGTAGAGTAACCATTAGTCACGGGAAAAGTTTTGACCATTTCGGTTACCCTCACGCTAAATGTATTCGTGTTTGTGTCATTCTTCACTTCCACTACCCGCGGCATTTTCCACACTTGAGGTGGTATAGCAAATATCGTGAGATTAGGAAAGCATTAACATGTAGTAAGGTTTTCTGGATTAAGGCTACATTCACTTCACGTAAGTGGAGTAGTTTTGTTATTTTGTGTGACTTCTGCCTTATTGCACACACATTAAACTTTACCACCACCTGGGCTTGTTTAGGATGGTTTTTTGCTCCTGTTCTTCCATGATCAGTCACTGGGTGGCCTTGCGCTGTCCTGTCGTGCGTGACCTGACAGGCGTAATGTTGAAAATGTTGAATTGCTAAGCTACTTCAAAAGGAAGCTAATCAAATAAGCAGAGGCGTCCATCAAGGTTACCTCAACGTTTTATTGTAGGAATCCTACCAACATGGAGCACTAGACAAGACAGCACAAAAACATGACGACGCCTCACAACAGATAATGTGGTGTGCAAAGCAATGCGTAATCAACATACATTCAGTACTTTGTCATTTTCCAACACGTCAGTCTGGGGTTGGTGCCCTGCAACCGCAATAGTAGTCTTAGCCGTGTCGGCCCTGCGTCCCGACAGCGGCAGACAGGGGTTTACAAAGGTAGGTTGCGAATCATAGTTTGAAAATTTTAGTGTACCCACCATAAGATTTGGTTTGGACAGAATGCTTTTTCTCATTGAGCCCGAGGCTTTGCGTCACATATTTCCTTGCCCAGTGAGTCATACGGTCAAAACATGTTAATGTGTCGGGAGTTTTTTTTAGCTTCGAGTGATCATGTTCACTCTACTAGTCCGCCGTGCCACGTAGAGGCAAAGCCCTTGTGGACACCGTGGGAGCACCGCCTTAATATCTGGTGACATAAATCTGTGGTGTAAACGCGGAAGAGTCCTTACAATATTATTATGCTACAGGGGCGTTTAAAAAAATGTGCAGTTGCGATCCTTGCTGGTGGAGAACTGATTAGGATTCTTAAAAATTGCGTTACTGTGTACGTGTTTTGTCAAACTTTCAGTCCTGTCACCCCTTTTCGACATTATATTTTATAGTGGATTTTTTTTTCGAAAAACATTTTGTAGGTGTGGTTTGACTATTTTGTGATGTCTTTTTTGATCAGATACGTTGTCTGTTTATTTTTTTTTTCCGACCAGCCGACTTCTTTCAACTGTACACCTTCCGACTTTGGGTCCGTCGGTTTCTTATGAGTACCTTGTTACTGAAGCTGTCTTGTGTCACATCAAATTACCCATTTAATCCGTTTCATGTTTCAGATAATTGAATCTAACAAGTCGCATATATTCGGCAAGCATTCGAGCGCACTTGTTAAGATGAGAAGTTTCTACCAAACGTGCATGGACGAGGAGCGTCTTGAAGAAAAAAGCAAACCAGGGATTATAAATGTAAATAGTTTGGACTTGTTCATTACTTCCCACAAAAGTATTTAAGTCTATTTGTAGGAAAATGCCACCACTTCCCCAAAAACCGTATAATCACATCAAACGAATTTTTTTTTTGAAATTTCCTGTACATAATCTTTCTACACTCTAACATACCGAGTGTCGTAATAATACAATTTACAAATGAAAGAAAGCCACAACAAATCCTCATATGATGGTCCCAGGAAACACAGTCAAAAACAGCCCACTGATAGCCACTCCATATGTGTGTAGTATAGCCACTCACTCTGTGTGTAATATAGCCACCCCTCTGGGTGTAATAAAGCCACTCTCTCTGTGTGTAATATAGCCACTACCTATGTGTGTAACTTCTCACACAGAAGAAGGTCTGCAGGGGCTGGTTAATCGCCTATCACATGCTTGTAAGGAGTTTGGTCTTTCGATTAATCTACAGAAAACTCATGTAATGATGCAAGAAGTACCGTCACCTCCAATCTTCTCTATTGAGGGTCATAATCTTTCGGTTGTTGATCATTTCATATACCTGGCATCCAATATTTCTAGTTCTCTCTCCGTTGATGAAGAGATCAATATCAGGATTGCAAAAGCAGCAGCAACCATGGCTAAACTGAATAAGCGGGTGTGGAATAATCTCAATCTAACTGATAAAACGAAAATAAGTGTCTATCAGGCCTGCGTGCTTAGCACGCTCCTATATGGTAGCGAAGTGTGGACCACATACACCAGTCAGGAGCGGAAACTCAACAGTTTCCATCAAAGATGTCTGCGTCGCATTTTGCGCATTCGTTGGCAGGACAGGGTGCCTAACGTGGATGTCTTGGAACGTGCACACATGTTTAGCATATTCTCCTTTCTCATCAAGAGACGCCTTCGCTGGTTAGGTCATATACGGCGAATGGAGGAAGGACGTATCCCAAAGATTCTGCTGTATGGAGAGTTGGCAGAGGGGACAAGGCATATTGGACGACCGCGCCTGAGATTTATTGACGTTTGCAAACGAAGCATGAGGGAAGCCAATATTGAAACAAACGAATGGGAGTACATTGCCAAACATCGCTCCAACTGGAGTGTTGGAGGAGTGAGAAAGGCAGAAGTTACTCGAATAGAGGCTCTCGAATCAAAAAGAACGATTCGAAAATCAAGAATTTACCGGGTTTCAACATTCTCCTGCGAGAGATGCGGCCGTGATTGCCATTCAAGGATTGGCCTAGTGAGCCACTCGTCAAAGTGTAGAACTATATAGCTACTCCATCGTCTCGCGTAGACGGAAGGATTCCATAATTAATAATATGTGTGTAATATATCCACTCCCTCTGTGTGAAGTATAGCGACTCAATCTGTGTGTAGTATAGCCACTTCCTCTGGGTGTAATATAGCCACTCCCTCTAGGTGTAAAAAAGCCACTCACTCTGTGTCACAAATGACTAGGGCAGGGTGTAACAATGACGCTCCATTACATTTCCATGTTAGTAATAATGCTATTTTGTTCGGATTTCCCCATGGGTCACACCACGTTAGCTGGATTTTGTATGGGTGATGGGCGATTTCTGGGAGAGGAGGAAAAATGTTTTGAGGTTAAGGAGCGTTGAAGATTACTAAATGTTTTGGAAGTTGGGAAGCGTTGAAGACTAATGGATATTAACGGTTTGAAAGGGAATATTATTAGACTGTATTGGATCTATTAAAACATTCTTTGTTTATAGTTGTCAAGGAGAAATTTCTTAGTCATTCTTTGAAGGCTGTGTTGTCTTCGTTATATTTCCTCAACGTCTGGACATTGAACTTTCACAGAGAGGAGCAACCCCTGCTTCAACCAACACCAATACTACTTGGTACGCAACGTGCAATACCTCATACTACCATCATCTAATCTATGACACTCTGTGTGCAATATAGCCACTACCTATGTGTGTAATATATCCACACCCTATGTGTGCAATATAGACACTCCATCTGTGTATAGTATAGCACTCCGTCTGTTTTCGGCATTTTCATTTTATTATCAAAAATACAAAATTTTCTCTTTTTTTTATAACATTTATGCTTCCCGATTTTGATCCTCTGGCTTCCATGACTCCTAGCATACTTATATGTGATTTGTCATCTCTGCTACCATCCTGCTTCACTGACTCCTAGCATACTTATGTTGTACTTTCTCATGTCTGCTGCCATGTTGCTTCACTGACTCCTAGCATACTTATGGTGTTCTTTTTCATCTCTGTTCCCATATTGCTTCACTGACTCCTAGCATACTTATGGTGTACTTTCTCATGTCTGCTGCCATGTTGCTTCACTGACTCCTGGCATACTTATGGTGTACTTTCTCATCTCTGTTCCCATCTTGCTTCACTGACTCCTAGCATACTTATGTTGTACTTTCTCATCTCTGTTTCCATCTTGCTTCACTCACCCCTAAAATATTTATGTTTTACGTTTTCATCTCTGTTGCCAACCTGCTACTGAATCCTAGCATACTAATGGTGTACTTTCTCATCTCTGCTGCCATGCTGCTTCACTGTCTCCTAGCATACTTATAATTTACTTTCTCATCTCTGTTGCCATCTTGCTTCACTCACCCCTAGCATACTTATAATGTACTTTCTCATCTCTGCTACCATCCTTTTTCACTGACTCCTAGCATACTTATATGTAATTTGTCATCTCTGCTACCATCCTTTTTCACTGACTCCTAGCATACTTATATGTGATTTGTCATCTCTGCTACCATCCTGCTTCACTGACTCCTAGCATACTTATGTTGTACTTTCTCATGTCTGCTGCCATGTTGCTTCACTGACTCCTAGCATACTTATAATGCACTTTCTCATCTCTGCTACAATCCTCCTTAACTCACTCCTAGTATACTTATAATGTACTTTCTCATCTCTGCTACAATCCTCCTTAACTGACTCCTAGTATACTTATAATGTACTTTCTCATCTCTGCTACCATCCTGCTTCACTGAATCCTAGCATACTTATAATGTTCTTTCTCATCTCTGCTGTCACCTCATCAATTTTCCTAATTTCAGTTGTCTGACGTTGGCGTGCTAATGTAAGAATGTTTAGATGCCTTTATAGCAAGATTTTTTTTAAAACCCCGATGGATCGCTTGGCCAATCCTAGAAGCCATACAGACAAGAATTTGGCTGTGAGCATTCTATCCCCGGATTCTTGCAAGTGTGTCCCTTACTTATCAACATTAAAATATGTTCTTGAAAAACGAAGGAGCGATAAATACGTTTTTTCTCTCCAACAGCTGCTTGATTACACTATAGTTTTTCAATGAACAAGTTCTGATGTTTCTCTGAGTTTGGACTTAGAAACTCCATAGAGGTGTTAAACAACATAGTTCCAAGCTACGCCCATTTACTTTCGACGTTATGATTTTTTTCAGAAACAATCATTCCGAAATTTTCTCCCTGAGAATCCAAAAAAATATTTCTGGATAGTGTGTCTGTTCAGATTGTAGATCCAGATGTCTGTAGGTCTATTGTCCACCCTCCCCTCCACCCACCCCCTCCCCCTTTTGTGTGCGTCTTTTGGGTTGTATTAGGATGTTGGTCTTGGTGATAGTAATTTTTAACGTTTAATTTTTTTTCCAATTTTGAATGTATGGTCTTGTGTGATGGAAAAGGGAGGTGGGGGAGGTGGGGGGGCTCATTCTCTCCCGGTGACTTCCTCATTGGTGGCGACCGAATTGAGTACCTGTCTGTTTTGGAACCAACTCATGCAAACTAGGTCACATTTTATTATTCTTTTGTTCATGTGGTGTCAACTTCTTGTGACTCTCTCATTGCCCTAATGGTGTAGAGACATCGAGGGGACCCTGCAACTCCTGCATCTCAGCAGTCCCCGAATATATAAGATGCCAAATATTGTTATAAGAAAAAGAACATTCATAGAATTTATTATTTTAAATATCTTTGAAATGTCCCCCCAAAAAAGGCGGGTGAATGGGAGTATGTGGACTAGAACATTCAAGTGACAGCTGTGTAGTGAAGCTACTGTGCAGTACGAACACTGCTGATGCATTGCTTACCTATATATATATTGGAACGCTAGGGCGCTGCCTATGTTTCGCTGAAATTTATTAGAGACATAAAAATTTGTACACATCCTAAAATGAGGTTAACAAGTAAAAAAAACAACTAAATATCAAAGCGTCGTCAGAATTGGATGACAACATTTCAGCAACTATTTTGGTGAGAGCTTTACAAATTTTCTGTGAGACAGCAGCCTTAAATAGTAGATATGGATAGCGATATCCCCATGTCAGGAATATTGGGCATGAAACAGTTGAAACTGAGTGATTCAATTACTTTTTTTTAAAATTATGTTTATAACGAATTAAGGAAATGTTGAATCTCTGATATTATTTTTTTTAAAACACGTATTGCATATGGTGCATACAACTATTTATGTTCAACAATTAGGTAATCAACGAACTTGGTTCTTGGACAATGACCAACGTCAGCGTTACTCCTTTTGACAAAAAGAACTGGAGCCTCCAGGAAACCCTTATGAAACTACATAAAATGGGATCATTCTTCTTTTTTTGTGTAGGCAGAGCTACAACCACACTGGATGATACGAAACAAAAGAAAGAGACACTAATAGTAAGTCATCAGCTGTGTGCATGTTGGTGGTAAGCTTTAAAATGCAAGTGTTCACATCTTGACACGTTGGTACGGACATTCAAACAATATATAGATGAATGATGCAAGCAATAAACACATTTATATTACTTTAATTAAAAGGTGGGAAAAAGGATATTTTATTCTATAAGTTTGTCATGATAATAATATAAATAATTGGCGTGCAGAGTAGCCTTAGAATAATTGCATTGTCATGTTTTATGATTGTAAACAAATGAGAACATTTAAGCGTCATTATGAGACGAATGAAATATTTCAGGTGGGATGGTAAGAGAGACCCCAAGAGGATAGAAATGTATAAACACCCAGAAGATGATGTTTTAAACATGTATACATCATATCAAAGGAGAGATAAAAATGAAAAAAAAAAATCCTCTGGTCATCTGAGACATTTGTGAAGATTGGAGATAAAATAATTGTGAAGATTCAAGATGAGATATTTGTGAAAATTGAAGTTGACATAATTGTCAAGATTTCCGCCAAAGGTTTCAATTAAGATTTTATGGTGTTGTTAATTTCAGACATGAAAAACGATAGAATATAGTTGTTCTTTCATTGACAGACTTTAGATAGGATTCAAGCCTAGAAGTTAGTTATTATTTATGTTCAAATTTTAAGGTAAATAAATTTTTAAACGTTATTTAGGTTTTTAGTGTGAATTAAAGTTAGGATAATAATTCGGATAAAATATGTTTGTTTGATGTCATTGAGGACAAAAGTCTATCGTCGTTAACAGTTTATAGAAAGAAAGTTTTAAAAAAAAGAACAGCGCCTAAATGTTGACGCGATAGAAATGAGATGTCATGTAAAATTTAATTTTTCATAAATATTGAAAACTAAATTTCAGTGGTTAGTTAAGATTAAATAATAGAAATAATTGAGAGAAAGTATGGATTAAGTTAAGAGTTAAGATAGTAGTGAGGCTGAAAGTTTAGTTATTAATGAAGATTAAAGCCTAGATATTGGAGAGAGTTAAAGTATTCAAAGAGATTTTTGCAAAACTGTTTAAAACAGTGGGCAGTCATTATATAACCTTTTTAATAACATATTTCTATATTTCAGTTTATGCGAGATGAATCAGCGGTCATTTCATATTTGAATAGCGGCCCAATATTCAGGGATCTTTTGATTTCGATAGCTGTCAAATTAGCTGAAGGTTTGGGCGGAGATCCCGAGGAAGCCGAAACAAAAGCCAAGGAGATAATGGAATTTCTTCTCCAATTGGTAAGACGTTATCTCATCTATCGACCTCAGTGTTTCTTAGTCTTTGAAACTAAAAGGATGACACGAAAGCTAGCAATACGCTTGGTGGCCGATGTTGGACCAGCGGGTTGGCACGTGGTAACTTAGCACTGACATAATTCATGGTAATATCTTTTTTTTTTAACACTGAGTTTATAAGAATTTGTATATATATTAAAATTTGGTTTGGTCTGAATGTCTTCAAACAATATCAAAATTATTTTTTTTTTTAATTAAACTCAAATAGAAAAGTTTTATTTATTTTATAAAAGCTAAATCAAAAGCTCTAAGTTTCTTTGTTTAATAACCACGTGTAACAAATCAGATAGTGAATTTTCCCCTTTTTAAAAGCAAGATTAATAAATGAAATTGATTGCTTTTTAAGTTGTTAGTAAGAACAGGCGCACGCCTAGCTTGGTATTTTGAACATTTAACACGTTTTTGCAGAGTTTTCATTCCAAATAGTAATTTTTTTGTCCAATTTATGAAGTAATAAAAATGTAACTTTTAATAAGAGAATGCCTATTAAGTCAATTAGTGCAGCGTAACTTCACAGCCAAATAGCACTCACTAAATTTATCTATCACTCATCTACCCAATTATGTGATAGATTAAGTATAGTTCTTAATGTTAAAATATCACTCACTAAATTCACCTATCACTCATCCACCCAATTATGTGATAGATTTAGTATAGTTTTTAAATGTTAAAATAAATATCGATAATATTTCAATATAAGGATTTCAGCGTAGAATTATTTATAGTGTAAAGAAAACAGTGTCGGGTAAAACAGGGGATCTGAGACTTAAGAATTTGACTTATAATTCATGGACGTGCAAATAATGTGTTTGGGTACAGAGGGCGTTAGTATTCCGTGAAGTATTTGATTATTTTTATTAAAATCTGGAGGGCGGGTTGGGGAATCAATACTTTCATTTTTCCCCAGGGAGCACGCTATTCGCCTCGAACATATATATCGGGGGGTTGGAAATAATGTGTACATTTTACGTGGATGATAATATCTCTAAATCCAATATTAAACTTGTGAAAAAGAGAAGGGTTTTTTTTTTTGTTACTGTTATGTTTTCATTGTTTTTATTTCCAACATGTAACATAAACATATACATACATAAATACAAGTTCTCAATCAGGTGTTGGCTTTCTGCTTGCGTCAGGAACACGGTTCATGAGCACACACACACTCTGTCCAGTCTCTCTGCGCATGCGCGCTGTTACCTTGGGTGGCTTTCGGTACGGGCCAGTCCGCTAGTCCACCATAACACCTCCCCGAACAATTACAAGTCCAGTATCAATGGTGCTCGACGTTGTCTTTGAGATCGTCTGGGTATGACATAGTCTGAAGGTCCTGGATGTCGAGGGTTAATCTTCTTCTTAGGTGGACTTGGAGTTGTTGGATGTGTAGACGGTTGATGACTCAGGGGTGCCTGAGCTGTTGGATAAAGACTTCCTGTCATTATATCCAAACTTGGTTCTGAATCATCTTCTTCTGCTCCGTACCTGGGGCGAAGTTGGTCTAAATGTCTCTTCCAAATGGGACCAATTGGATAAATCTTTACCTTAAAGAGACGTAGACCCAAAACGTGGATGATTGTACCGGGAGCCCATCGTGTTTTAGAATCTTTTGCTGTTCCATATACTCTGACGTAACATGGATCTTCCCGGTTAAATGATCAACTAGGACTTCTGTTTGTCCCATTGTGGACGGCTATTTCTTTAAGATGTTGTCCCTGGGCTCGATGAGCAGGAGAGGGAACTAGAGTATCAATAAGTGTTCTTATTTGCCGATTGTTTAGCAGTTGGCTAGGTGATAATCCACTTGCCAATGGTGTCCTACGATACTTTCGCAGAAAGTCTTGTAGAAATTCCTTTAAAGGTAATGAGGATTTCTTTAGTTAACTCTTGAAACTTTGAATGAGTCGTTCTGCAGCTCCATTCGTAGCAGGATAGTAGGGAGCGCCTGCAAGATGTACAATACCCCTCTCCTTACACCAATGCTGAAATTCTTCTGAGATGAAGCAAGTAGCATTGTCCATGACTATGTTGTGTGGATAGCCGAAATGAGCAAAATCTTCCTCCAGAAGATCAATGGTGGCTTTGGTCGATGTAGATGTTGTCCTGTGGATACACGGGTCCTTTGAATAAGCAACTATCACCACCAGCCAATGTTATCCCTTAAAGTTAATTGCATGGTCGATATGCACTCGACTCCATGGTTTTTCTGGCAAAATCCAGGGGTGGATACTTGCTTTGTTTGGGTCTCTGGCGTGTTCTGCACATGCCTGGCATGTTCGACCTATTTTCATGATTTGAGTGTCAAGTCCGGGCCATTATACATATGATCTTGCTAACTGTTTCATCCGCTCGATTCCAAAATGTCCTGTATGCAAGATTTGGAGAACTTGAGCTTGTAGTATTTTTGGTGCCACAATTCTTGACCGATAAAATAGACAATTCGACTCCACAGAGAGTGAGTCTTGAATATTTTTAAAAGCTGCAATATTAGCTGCCTTTTTGTTCAAGTGTTCTTTGTTTGTAGAGGACGGCCAGCCCTCTTGACAATATCTCATTACTGTAGATACAGTAGAATCTTTAAGTGACTCTTTAGCAAGGACTCCTGGGTCTGTTGGTTTGATCTGTAAACTGATTTGATTTGTTTGATCATACAAACAGAATCCATGTCTGCTTCACTTTCTTCAACATCACAAATGTCATCAGGCCCTGAGTGTAGACGACTAAGAGCATCCGCATTGCAATGTTCAGTTAGCTTACGGAATTCAATGATATAGTTATATTGACTCAAGGTAAGAGCCCAATCTGGCTAAACGATTTGCTGCCAGTACTGGTGTTCCTTTTCCTGAACCAAATATACTTATCAGTGGTTTATGGTCTGTCACCAACACAAACTTTCTTCCATACAGATATTGATGGAACTTTGCTAGTGCAAAAATAATTGAGAGTGCTTCCTTTTGAATCTGACTATATTTGCGTTGTGCTGCTGTGAGAGCTTTTGAAATGTTAGCAATAGGGCGTTCACTGCCATCAGGATATCTGTGGAACAGAACACTTCCTATGCCAACATTAGAGGCGTCACAGGATATGCCTATGTCTAGAGTGGGATCATAGTGAGCTAGAGCTGTATCAGCTTCATTTTGCCCAAAGGCAGTACTAGAATAAACGACTGGATGTTATCGGGATAATAACGGTAGGTCTTGTGCGATATTTTATAACTGCTATTGCAAAAACTCATCACAATATATAACTTTAAAAATATAATGATATTTACGTTTCTAACTTCATTGAGTTTTGAGAAGTTTTTATCTGCTATATATTATACGCCTACACTACTCCTTTTCACGCTATTAAATTACATTTTCCTTCTCTATACATGACCTTAAAGTACCCAGTCTGAATTATCACTAATTAATTCACTTTTGTCACTAAAGAAGTACATTGAGGAACGATTACTACGCTAGAGAGACACGTTAGATTAACCAATCTTCGTGCCCTTGAATTACATCTTCTTTGTCTCTAAAAACAAGCTACGTATCAAAACAAAGGAATTAATTTGATAAATAATTAATTTTCTTGGGTAAATACCTGTCGGAGGTAGGAAATAAGATTGTATATTTTTACGTGGATAACATTTTCGTTAACTCCTATGGTATTTGTGAAAAAAAGAGATGTTACATTCTCTGTACACTTATGGAGAACAATAAGAGACGATGTCCTGGGGGAGAAAAAGCTCTACATTTAATACTTCAAGAAAATAAATATGACCTTTAAACACATGAAAAATCACTGTAAGATTTTTTCAAAGAAAATCCAGACGTCAACTATGACAAGCCAATACATTTTGGAAAATAATACGATCCAATGGCCTCAAAAAAACAATGTTCGAAGAAAAGTTTCAAATTGTCTACCTAGGATGAAGAAGAGCTTTCGACAAAATCAGGGAAGAAATTGAAAACCCTAACGTTCCAAAATAGGAATTCTTTTTAGCTGGATCTATCGGAAGTGGTAAAATCTTCGTTTACAAAACAATCATGCACTATCTAGGAATTAGTCTTGCATGTGCATTTACAGGCAAAGCAGTAATTTTTCTTAAGGGATGCAGAACTTACCACAGTCTTTTTAAGCGGCCTATTCGAATAAATGAAATCTCAACCTGTATTATATGAGTTGGGACCAATACAGCAAATGAACTGAAAAAGGCTGAAGTGATTATCTTGGATGAAGCTTAGAGGGCAGTAAATGCAGTTCGCTCACTGTTTAGAGAAATCTTAGCCAAATATCCTAAAGATCCTTGTAAAAACGTTTGGAGGTGGTGCTTTTATTTTTGGTGAGGATTTTAGAGAAAGTTTACCCTTTGTTGCCCATAGCATCAGGACCGAAATACTTTCTCCATGCATTAAGAATAGTAAGTCTTATAAACATGTTAATGAAAATATCCTTTGACGAATTCAATCCGAAATGAAACACTATATCGGCATAGATTCATTTGAACAAGACAATGCATACGCTGAGGAGGCAGCAAACTATTCAATGGAGCTTATCAACAGTTTAACAACTGGAGATATGCTACCTCATGGACTTAACTTGAAATTTGCTGCATTAGTAATGTTGCAACGAAATCTTGTTTTTTTTTAAAAAGAGGTCTTTGCAATGGTACCAGAATAGTCACCAAGCAAATGATGTCAAACGTCATTGACAATGAAATCCTGACCGGATCTTTTGAAGGCACTAGGGTATTTATTCTAATAATTATTCTTTCACCCAGAGAGCCTCACCTTCCCTTTACACTAAGAAGAAAACAATTATCATTTGAGACTTGCTTTTGCTATGCCCATCAACAAAAGCCAAGGACAAACATTGAATTCAATCCGTATTTAATTCCTTAATTCAGTTATCATTCATTAACAACTTTAAGTTGCATTTTCAAGAATAAATTCCTCTTAGCAAGTCAGTTAAAAGTCTTAGGAACTGACCAACAAGGCAATTTAAAGAAGGACTACGAAGTTTTGGTCTAAAAAGAAGATTTTGCTCAATAATTAAACTTCATAGGCAGCCGTTGATTTATCAATATGAGTCAGTAAAAGTGCTCCCCACCTGGTCGTAAAACGGGTAGTAAAGAAATTATGTATCAATATAAATTTATTTTAAAAATATATCACTTTTTTCTTAAATGAATTTAATTTCGCTGTTCAATAGTTTGACTACGTCAATATCTAAAGTCAAATTCTCTCAAAGGATTTTCTAATTTCTCTTTAAATAAAACAAACATTATGCGAAACATTTTAGTTTTACGAAAATAAAAAAATTACATTAGTTTAACGATATGTTGTGAAATTATGTAAAAATTAAGATTTAAGTTTGGCTAAACGCCTCCTTTACCAGACTAGACAAATCAAGGGTGCTGTTTGGCTGAGCGGTCTGAACTTATTCAATCTCAAACTTGAGGACTGAAGTTAAATTTACTCTGTATCCATAATAGAATCGTCATAAACATTGTCTTATAAAGCAGTCATTGATCACATGATGCATTTTAAAAGCATCTATTGTAGAGGTCTTTACTTTATAACATCTTTTTTTATTTCACTTGTGGAAGTTCCTTATTGTTAAGATCTAGTGTAAGTTAGACTCATGTTACGCTGGTTGTGGTATACCAAGCTCTACGGGTAGTTTTATTTGGTGAATATTTCTGGAAGTTTCTATTTGGCGAGAAACGAATTGTTGCAAATGCGTAATAAATAAAAATGTATCATACATAAAAATGTATGCTACTTAAAATTTATGATATATTAAAATGTATGATAAATAAAAATGTGTGATATATAAAATGTATGATGTCTAAAAATATATGTTGTATAAAAATATATTATATTAAAAAATTATGATTAAAAAAATGTGTGATTTATACAAATGAATGATATATAAAAATGTAAGATATACAAATGTATTACAGGAAAATGTGGAACCAACTTACACACAGCCTATGCCGTTGAAGGAGTTACAGGAACAAATAGGTTCTTCAGTAAGTTAAAATTGGTTTTACATATGTTCCTTGGTTACTTTAGGTTGGTTGTTACAACGTGTTCCTGGGTTAGTTTAGGTTGGTTGATAAAACAGGTTCATAAGTAAGTTGAAGTTGGTTGATAAAACAGGTTCCTAAGTGAGTTAAAGTTGGTTGCTAAAGCATGTATCTTGGTAAGTTTAAGTTGGTTAATGCAACAGGTTGTATGGTACGATGAAGTTGGTTATTACAACAGATTCCTTAATTAGTGTAAATTTATTTATAGAGGGGCTAAAGTATAAAAAATGTGGCCTTTATACATTATCACCTAGCATAAATAAGATATATAAATTAAACGTTGATTTTAAAATATAACAATATATATAAGAATGAGCTACAGTAACATAACGCCAAAGAGCCCATACGATTTAAGTACGTTCGGATTCCTAAGAATAAGTATAGTTATTTTCTATTATTTTACCGAAATCGAATAAATTTAAATGCTCAAAAAATATAATAAATCTGCTTTATTTTATTAAAAATTAAAGTTATTTCATTATGAATTACAAATACATTTAAAGTATCAACCAAGGAACCATTTTAAGCATTTTGTATGTGTTTAAAAGTTATGAAAACATAAAAAAATACAAAAAATCATGACCAAAGAATTACACCGTAATCACATTTATCGGGAAAATCCTAGCATCAGTCGTTTTTAGTGCATCTCTTAGTGCGTTCGTTAACATTGCGAACTAAAATTAAAATTAATCTGTTCTAAATAATCACGCAAATGACGTCATAGCGCGAAAACCCTATTTCGCCAAAACTCTTATGTTTCTTTAAATTTAATAACCGCGCGTGACACAACTGATAATTTATTTTCCCTTATTAAAAGTAAAATTAATAAATGCAATTGATTGCTATTTAAATTGTTAATAAAACACACACACATTTTTGCTTTGCATATTTTTACCTTTAAAAAGTTTTGCTTTTTTTTATTCCAAAACTATACTTTAATTAAATTTATAACGTAATAAAAACTAAACTTTAAATACAATTCTAAAAAGAAAATGCGGTTGCAATCAATCAGTGCTGGGCAACTCCATAGCTAAATAGCATTCACTAATACACTTATACCTCATACAAATAAGAACGAACAATATGAAGTGCAAAATATGTAAGTTTGGTAATGAAAGGGACTACAATCCGTTGGAAGATTTTCTAAATTTATTTAAATCTGGGCGGGGGAGGGGTTGGTCACCTTGCCCCAGGCAGCACAAGATGCGTCTCAAAATAAACGAATGAATTTGATAAATAATTAACCTTCTTGGGTACATACATATCGGAGGTAGGAAATAGCATGTGTATATTTTTACGTGGATGACGATATATTTAAATCCTATGGTATTACATTTGAGAAAAAAGAGATGCTACATTCTCTTTTTACAAATATGTGCATGTTCATTTCGTCCAAGGCAGCACAAGATACGTCTCAAAATAAAGGAATGATTTTGATAAATGATTTATCTTTTGGGGTAAATACATGTCTGAGGTAGGAAATAAGATGTGTAAATTCTTACGAGGATGACAACAGAGTTAACTCCTATGGAATTACATTTGTGAAAAATACGATGTTACATTCTCTTTTTACAAATATTGGTATGTTCATTTTGCCCAAGGCAATACGAGATGCGTCCCAAAATAAAGCAATTAATTTGATTAATAATTAACCTTCTTGGGTACATGCATATCGGAGATAAGAAAAAGGATGTGTACATTTTTACCTGGATGACAATATGTTAATTCCTATGGTATTACATTCTCTTTTTCACAAATAAACATATGTTTAGCAAATAAGAAAATCAATGGTGATAACAAATCTTGGGTAAATTTATATAAGTATATCCATGAATATCAAAACCAAATCATATTACACACTTGAAAATTAAATTTTAACAAATGAAAATGGGTAAATATTTCCTTTTTTTTTTTTAATTAAAATAAATTTTTGTTTTTGCTTTGCAAAAAAGTAAAGAAGTGTGTATTTTTATGAGATAAACATTTTTTTTTTTTAAAAATCAGTTACATCTGATATTGGCGTGAACAAAAGTCTTGAGATTTTTTTTAGATAAAAGAATTCTTTGTTTTACGATTTTCTGATAATGTGTAATTTTTTTTTAAAAAGCAAAAATATATTTAAATTTTTTATTAAGATATTACTATATATCGAATTCCTGTAATACAAAATAAATGTATATGATATATATAGAGTTTTTCTTTTAAATTTAAGATTAGTTTATTTTTTTAATTTGTGAGAAAAAAATTGTTATTCAAGGGTATGAAAGGGTAAATTTAAAGTATTTCTCTAGCGTAATAATTGTCCCTCAATTAACTTCTATAGTGACAAAAGTGATATAATTAGTGATAATTTAGACTGGCTAATTTAAGTTCATGTTTGGAGGGGGAAAAGTAGTTTAGGGGCGTGAAAGGGTGTAGAGTACGCGTATCATGTATAGCAGAATTACACTTCTCAAATGTTAATGATGTTAGAAACGTAAATATCATTACATTTTTAAAGTTATGAATTGGGATGAGTTTTTGCAATAGCAGTTAGAAATTATCGCAAAGGACCTATCATTATTTTTCCGATAACATCGGGCCATTTATTCTAGTCAAAAAAGGAATAAAATATTGCAAAAATTAAATTCAGGTGTGTGTTTAAATGATTTCTTGTATTTTATACGGAAAAACAATTTTGTGGGGACCATAAAGTTTTAACGGCCAGAATACGCTAGGACAAAGCATACCGTCATACCATGGATTGAATTTAGTTCATATCCCGCGTTTTCCAATTAAGGGGTTTCCTTGGTCAATATTATTGCTAATTTTGGCACTTCACACCCGCAATTTTAAAATCCTCCCCCACCCCCTCAAAACTGTCTTAAAGAAACATGCATCAAATTGTATCCTTTCATTTTCAATTTGCATAACTGTCTTCATCAACGCATATTTCTGGAAACTCCCTCCGTCACGCTGATCAATGTTACAGTATGGGTTTAAAAAATACGCTTGTGCTAAATGAACTCGCCACCGGAGTGAATTCAGTTTATGTATGGCACATTGCGCCATAATACCTCCCATAGACATTTAAAAATGTCCTTCCGCGATCAAGGCGTCTCGTGTAAACATTGATATTAGGTATATGCCAAAATACATCTCTTAATTTTGAAATAATACAAAGTTATCTGGGGAAAGGACCCCGAAAATGAAAACTCATCCGCTCGAGATTCATCGGCGCCTTCGATTTCCGCCGTTCTTTCCGATGCAAATAATAGACAATTTTTGTAGATAGTCACACCGCCCAGTGAATAAGACAGTATTAGTAACGCCATAAATAGCCACGAAAATGAAACCTCATCCGCTCGAGATTCATCGGCGCCTTCGATTTCCGCCGTTCTTTCCGATGCAAATAATAGACAATTTTTGTAGATAGTCACACCGCCCAGTGAATAAGACAGTATTAGTAACGCCATAAATAGCCAAAGATTTTTGCCACCCTTCCTGTCGAGATATACATTCTTTAGTTATCCGAAAATGCCGCAGCTGCATATAAAGAAAGTACCAACTCCATCCAACTCCTTTATATGCCACTGGCAGGAGCGTAGCTAGAGTTTTGGGCGTCAGGACGAGAATCATTTTGCGAACCCACTTAACTCTCAAACATCGTATTTTCAAACATTAAATACTGTTATAGCCCATTTTGGCGCCCCAGCTTACGGAGATGAGATGCTTCAGAGGCATTTTTGGCATCTGCTATAGGGACCATATCTCCAATGATACAGTGAAAGAAAGGGTTCGTCAGGCTATTGGGGAGTACAATGACCTACTGGTGACTGTGAAAAAACGTAAACTAAAATGGTACGGCCACGTAACAAGGAAACAAGGGCTTGCCAAAGAAATATAGCAGGGCACCACAAGAGGAGGGAGAAAAAGAGGAAGACAAAGAAAATGATGGGAGGATAACATCAAAGAGGGGACAGGACTAATACTGGGCGATGCAGTGCGTAGTGCTGAAGACAGAGAGGAATGGAGGAGGATGGTTCACATGTCCTCTGTGGCGCCCCAACGGTCCAAGGACTAAGGGACATGAGGATGGGGATGAGCTTGCTGGCGTCCTGGGATTCTTGTCCCATCTGGTATCCCTTAGCTAGGCAAATTTTCTTGCCCCCCCCCCACTGAAAACCTAACCCCCCCCCCCACCCCGAGGAAATTGTCTGAAAGAGTGACTGCTCAAAGTAACATAAACAAAACTATGATAAATTTATTAATAGTTATATAAATCTATATGTACTATGATAGCTTTATTTATAGTTATATAAATCCATGTGTACTATGATAGCTTTATTTATATTTTTTTAAAGCCATGTGTACTAAGCTTTATTTATAGTAAAATAAATACATGTGTACTATGATAACTTTCTTTGCAGTCACATAGATATATGTGTACTATGATATCTTTCTTTACAGTCACATACATATATGTGTACTATGATAACTTTCTTTACAGTCACATACATATATGTGTACTATGATAACTTTCTTTACAGTCACATACATATATGTGTACTATGATAACTTTCTTTACAGACAAATACATATATGTGTACTATGATAACTTTCTTTACAGTCACATAAATATATATGTACTGTGATAACTTTCTTTACAGTCACATATATATATGTGTACTATGATAGCTTTCTTTACAGTCACATACATATATATGTCTTGTGATAACTTTCTTTACAGTCACATACATATATGTGTACTATGATAGGTAAAGAAAATGTTGTTTTTTTTAAAGTACCTTTCTTTGTTTCAGTTTTAAATCGTGTATGTTTCTTAAAATATGGGATATATGTCTTTTAAAGTTAAAACAAAACTAATGTCCAATTTCAAACATTATTGAATGCGTCAAGCTTCAGTGGTTGCAGACAAAAGAACGTGAGCTGTGGTTGTTACCGAACCGAAATCAAACTTCTAACAGAGGATTCGCTACTCATCTCGACAATACATTTTAAAATGTGTTTTTGGAAATTTAAAATTAATCTAAATAAAATACAGTATCTTATGACTTGTGTTAAATATTTTAAACACTGCACTTTATCACGTTAGATGAAACTTGGTCCACTCTCTTTGATTCGACAATGACAAATTTAGCGACTGAATGATTTTAAAGAGGAAACAGCAAAAACTTCATTCAAGCGTCATAGCTGATTTTGATGCAATTAATTTAACTTTGATTCGAAGCGGATTTCAGAAAGAAATTTATTACATAGTTTCATTGAATTATTTTATACAAAACTACAAGATAGACGGTACAAAAAAATGTAGTTCTTTTTATTGTATGTAGGCATCTGTGTAGTATCTGTGTTATTTGCACTATCATGTGTGTCAAACGGGGTCGATTTCAGAATGGAAAAGGCCTCGGCTGCACCTCTCGACGAACACCCTTGACAACTGGTTTTGTGTGCATTCCATATTGTTCTTTTTGTGATTAGGACTTTGTTTCAACCATCCTTCGTTTATTAAATTCAAACAATAACTACTCGTTATCAGCGATGCTCTTCTACTCACTCATTCGATGTTGTTTATTTCCTGTTTTTATGACATACCTTTTCATACCGTGGTCGCGGCCGTCCAATAACTTGGACCCCTTTAGTCGTCTCTCCGTTAAACAGATCCTTTAAAATACTGCTTTATTCCACCATCTTGACATGGCCAAACAGGCAGGGACGCCTCTTACTAGAAGTGAACAACATGCAGGGCGTTTTGGAACTTTCCAGAACTGATGTGTTAGAAAATATCTTCTGCTTTCGAATGTGCTAAGTGGGCCACACATATTTTAGGTGAAAGCTGTTGAATTTCGGTTCACAACTGTCTTTACGGTACACACTTCAATGTCATTTTGAAGCGTACTGAGCAAATATGTCTGGTAGACTTTGAGTTTTGTGACCTCGGTGAGTTTAAACCTTGTCCCATCTAGTCTTATAGTCTTACGTGCAGCTGTGATCCTGTTACCCCTTCTTCAATGGAAAGTTAGCTCAAGTTAGATATTAAGGACAATGAGCCATCCGCTACGTCTTAACAAGCTAAATCCCGTTGGTAGGTAACTTAAAACCACGCGGCGAGGCTAATGATCTTCTCGACACGTCTCTTGCAAACGGCGATGTTAAATTTTCGAGGTGTCATAAAAACAATATTTTGCGTGTCGAAGATCTTTTGTATGCGTCCAGTCTAGATGCATGTCGTACTATTCTAAGTAAAAAAAAAAAAAAAAAACTTTTATGATGGTAATAATCCCTTGAAACACAATAATGCTACAGACGTAAATATTGGTAGATGGGTTTTTCTCTTTAGCATTCCGAAAATTCGATTTGTCAAAATTCAGTTTTATTTATTTGAAATTTGGAGAGATATCTTGTTGAGGATATCAATATCTCGAGGACTGATTAGTAACAAATAACGAAGATCAAATTTAGATTTTTCTTAAAAACTTTATTATGTTTTACAAAATTTATTTTGTCCATTTAAGATTGAAGCAATAGACATTTACAAACTGTTTAGTGTAAAAATGTAATGTTAATTGTTACCTTTCAACTTTGAGTGAATATTTTTGTTTCTTTCCTTGAGCTGGATTTGAAAGCTTACTTAAACGAGTTTTTCGGCGATGAACATAATATATCTATGGACACGATAATCGAGTGCTACGAAATGCCCTATTTTATCTCATTGGGGAAAGCTTTAAAGCAGTATGAGAAAAGGTAAGAACTCCGTCGCAACTTGTGTCTGTTTCAATCTGATCTGTGCTTTTCTCTTTGACTGTCGCTTTAAATACCATCTTGTGTAGAACTGCCTACCGAGTCACTTGTGTCTGTTTCAATCTGATCTTGCTTTTCTCTTTTACTATCGCTTTGAATACCATCTTGTGTAGAACTGCCTACCGAGTCACTTGTGTCTGTTTCAATCTGATCTTGCTTTTCTCTTTTACTATCGCTTTAAATACCATCTTGTGTAGAACTGCCTACCGAGTCACTTGTGTCTGTTTCAATCTGATCTTGCTTTTCTCTTTTACTATCGCTTTGAATACCATCTTGTGTAGAACTGCCTACCGAGTCACTTGTGTCTGTTTCAATCTGATCTTGCTTTTCTCTTTTACTATCGCTTTGAATACCATCTTGTGTAGAACTGCCTACCGAGTCACTTGTGTCTGTTTCAATCTGATCTTGCTTTTCTCTTTGACTATCGCTTTAAATACCATCTTGTGTAGAACTGCCTACCGAGTCACTTGTGTCTGTTTCAATCTGATCTTGCTTTTCTCTTTCACTATCGCTTTAAATACCATCTTGTGTAGAACTGCCTACCGAGTCACTTGTGTCTGTTTCAATCTGATCTTGCTTTTCTCTTTGACTATCGCTTTAAATACCATCTTGTGTAGAACTGCCTACCGAGTCACTTGTGTCTGTTTCAATCTGATCTTGCTTTTCTCTTTGACTATCGCTTTAAATACCATCTTGTGTAGAACTGCCTACCGAGTCACTTGTGTCTGTTTCAATCTGATCTTGCTTTTCTCTTTCACTATCCCTTTAAATACCATCTTGTGTAGAACTGCCCACCGAGCCCCTTTGTTTTAAGGACTTTCCTCCCCCCCACCCCCCCCCCCCCAAACATGCAAAAAAAAAAAAATGTTCCTTCCACCACAAAAATCACTTAACATGTTATTTCAGTTGCAAAAATATTCGAATTGTATTGAAAAATTTTTTTTCCATCGAACTGTAAAACAAGAAGCTCTGTGTTTCCATCTAAACAGCAAAAACAGGAACATGAACAACACAATCGCTATACTAAACAAAGTAGCCACACAGTTTCATCCAATTAAGCAAAGTAACATGAACACGTTCGTGTAGAGAAAGCTGTAGAGAAATATCTCTTAACATAACTGCTCTAAACAGGATATTCGTTGGGTTCTATTTGCTTGACAACGGCCTTTTTCGTTAAGATTGATGAAATTATAAAATCAATAAAATAAACAGTACGCTCCATATGTTTATATGATACGAATATTTAAGGCTAATCCAGAAACACCATTCGATTCACTACGAGACGTCCCTACTACCGCCGATTCTTGATGTTCACCTATATTGATGTTTATGTTTAAAACTAGGCTTCCTTTCAAAGATCTCTCGTGGGTGGGTTGCTTGTTAAAATTAAAATTATAACATTTTTTTTTGAACCAATGAAATATTGATACCCTCGATGGAATCATAAGATGTTGTTCACATGTTCTTTTTGTCTGGAATTTAATTTATTGATTATTATTACTTGTATGTCTGTGAGTGCGTGTGTCTGTGTGGGTTTGATTGTGACTGTGAGTCTATCTGTGTGTGTCTGTGTGTTTCCGTGTGTGTTTGTGAGTTTATGTGTGTGTCTGTGTTTGTCTCTGATTGGGTCTAATTATGTATGTTTGTGTATGTGTGTGCCTGTGTTTGTTTCTGTGCTGTGTCTGTGAGTGTATGTGTGTCTCTGTGTGTCTGTTTGTGTGTATGATTGTGTTTGATTGGGTCTCATTTTGTATGTGTGAATGTGTGTATGTGTGTGTATGCGTGTGTTTCTGTGTGTGTCTGTCAGTGTCTGTGTGTCTGTGTGTGTGTCTGTACGTCTGTGCTTCTGTGCGTGCATTTGGGCGTTTGCGTGTGTATGTTTGTGTGTATACAACGTCCCTGTTTAAAGAATACATTTATAGAAATCGAGCGCCTTTAGTTGGAAGAAGTGGAAGTGAAACTGCATTCCCATTGCCACAAATGCCTGTGAAATAACGTTTCAAACAGTTATTGCTAAGTATCACTGACATTAAGTATACCTTTATATTTCTTCACTGGATTATATCAGATTTTAGGGTAGGGCTGGATTCTAAGACATACAAATTCATCATATTAAAAAAAATACCTTTATTTGTACTTTTTATCAAGCATCTAAAATGTCCCATTACCGATGTTTCAAAGTTTTCTATAAATTAATGTTGCTCTTATTTCGTTTTATTTCTTTTTCGTTTTGTTGTTATTGTTATTGTGTGTGTGTGTTTGCGTGCGTGCGTGCGTGCGTGTGTGTGTGTGTGTGTGTGTGTGTGAGAGAGAGAGAGAGAGAGAGAGAGAGAGAGAGAGAGACTGGTTTAACTTGAAAATATTTAGGAGAGGTAATAATTTATTTTTCTATGGCAAAAGGTAGTTTAAAAATTTAGAGAGTTTATATAAGAGATTTTTTTTTGTTTTCTATATATTATTGTTGCTCTTATTTCGTTTTATTTCTTTTTTGTTTTGTTGTTATTGTGATTGTGTGTGTGTGTTTGCGTGCGTGCGTGCGTGCGTGTGTGTGTGTGTGTGTGTGTGTGTGAGAGAGAGAGAGAGAGAGAGAGAGAGAGAGAGAGAGACTGGTTTAACTTGAAAATATTTAGGAAAGGTAATAATTAATTTTCCTATGGCAAAAGGTAGTTTAAAAAATTAGACAGTTTAAATAAAAGCTTTTTTTTTCTTTAAACGTGCATTTTTGGGAAAAAACTTAAGAAGATATTCTCTTTGTATCAACTCAAACACGTGAAGAGAGTTTCTATCCTCCTAGACTGACCCCCAACTACGGCTTGGAAGACATCGACGCCCTCACTTTTTTGTTTGCCTTAAATCATCGAAATGACGTCATCGGCTCCATTTTTATTACAGAACAAAAAAAAAAAATAAAGACTGTGTTTATAATTAGATGATTTTGATAAACAGTTTAATACATTATTTTACAGTAATTATGCATCTAGAAATAGACTCCCCCGGGGAAGCTACACCTTGAATTAAAATATTTTTGTTGGGTGAGTAGGCGAAGTTACAGCTGGCTCTGGTCGCCATAATGTCTGATTTGGCGTTTATACATGCGCTGGCTTTGCTATGGTTGGTGCAGCACAGGGCGCTGGCCTAGCTGTGGTTGGTGCCGCCCTCGGGAAGGCAAAATTTTTGCCAACGCCCGTCCACGAAAATACTCTATGCAGTAGATCGAAAATGTCATCATTCTATTTCAAGTGCCCTGCCCCTCTCCCCAACTCTCAACCTACTCCGATCCCCCCCCCCCAAACCGCCACACCTTTATTTAAAAAAAAGAGTCTAAAATAAACAGTGCTTAGCAGTTTCTCTGTTATAGGCATGCTACATGCCCGAGAAAATTACCAGAATTAATACGAAACTTTTGTAGGAAACCAAAATATATAAATATTAAATAATTCCCCAAACGGAATTTCCCCAGCGTTCTCCACTGACGCCTACGAGATGAAATAATCTCTTTAAAAGTGAATATTTCCACTAAGGGAGTGAGATTTCATGGTAGAAGACGGCTAATTTTTGTGCTCGGTTAATATTTTATATATTGAAATGTTTCTAGTTTAAAAATGTTTACTTGTAATAACATAGAAACTAGTCTTGAAAATAAATAAGTAAAACAGTAGTATAAATTGTAGGAATGGGGACGGTTTTTGGCGGAGCTGGGGGAGGGATGGTTAAATAGGGAAAATGGTGGAGGGATTTTTATAAAAGACCTCCTGTATGAGGTAATTAAGGTGTGATAATCACATAATTACTTTTAAATTTGATTTTTAATAAATAATGTCCCTTTGTTGTACGATGATTTTAATTGTGGAATTTAATTAATCGTGTTTTTGTGTATTTTGTTATGAGTGGTTCTCAAAATATGATGAGAAATGTGTATTTTAAAAGGGGTGGTTCTAAAGTCATGTAATTTTCTTAATTAAGGACAACATTATACATTTTTTATAGCGATTTTTTCATTGACATTTTTTTCCAAGACAATCATTGTTACATCATTTTTTAATTACATATTTGAGAACAAATTATTTTTTTAAATTGTATATTTTAAGTGGTTCTCATTATGTGGGGGGTCGATTTTCTAACTAGCGTTTCTCATTGTGTGTGAGTCAAAAGGGTGTTTTCTTTTTATGGAATACTTCTTTTGTAACAGAATAAGTTTATTTAAGTTTATTGAGGGGTACTCAAGGTCGGGTTATAGATATTATCGAGTGTTTCTTATTAGTTGGGGGTCCTTTTAGGTTGTATTTTAATAGTTTTAAAATTAGTATTATTATTGTATTTTAATAAGTTTTCTTATTCTTGTATATTTTAAGTGGTTCTCATTATTATTATACGTGGTTTTATATAGCGTGGTACCCCAGCCTAGGGCTGGGCTCACCACGCTGTACTTACAATTTAACAAACGTAATAAAAATCCAAAATAATTAATTGGCGTGCATTAGTTAAATAAAGCAAAAGAAATGTACACTTAAAAACATTTACAACTCAAGCCATGGACGACACTCAGTCAAGCCATGGACGACACTCAGTCAAGCCATGGACGACACTCAGTCAAGTCATGGACGACACTCAGTCAAGCCATAGACGACACTCAGTCAAGTCATGGACGACACTCAGTCAAGCCATGGACGACACTCAGTCAAGTCATGGACGACACTCAGTCAAGTCATGGACGACACTCAGTCAAGTCATGGACGACACTCAGTCAAGTCATGGACGACACTCAGTCAAGTCATGGACGACACTCAGTCAAGTCATGGACGACACTCAGTCAAGTCATGGACGACACTCAGTCAAGTCATGGACGACACTCAGTCAAGTCATGGACGACACTCAGTCAAGTCATGGACGACACTCAGTCAAGTCATGGACGACACTCAGTCAAGTCATGGACGACACTCAGTCAAGTCATGGACGACACTCAGTCAAGTCATGGACGACACTCAGTCAAGTCATGGACGACACTCAGTCAAGTCATGGACGACACTCAGTCAAGTCATGGACGACACTCAGTCAAGTCATGGACGACACTCAGTCAAGTCATGGACGACACTCAGTCAAGTCATGGACGACACTCAGTCAAGTCATGGACGACACTCAGTCAAGTCATGGACGACACTCAGTCAAGTCATGGACGACACTCAGTCAAGTCATGGACGACACTCAGTCAAGTCATGGACGACACTCAGTCAAGTCATGGACGACACTCAGTCAAGTCATGGACGACACTCAGTCAAGTCATGGACGACACTCAGTCAAGCCATGGACGACACTCAGTCAAGTCATGGACGACACTCAGTCAAGTCATGGACGATCCTCAGTCAAGGCGTAGACGACACTCAGTCAAGCCATGGACGACACTCAGTCAAGCCATGGACGACACTCAGTCAAGTCATGGACGACACTCAGTCAAGTCATGGACGACCCTCAGTCAAGGCGTAGACGACACTCAGTCAAGTCATGGACGACACTCAGTCAAGTCATGGACGACACTCAGTCAAGTCATGGACGACACTCAGTCAAGTCATGGACGATCCTCAGTCAAGGCGTAGACGACACTCAGTCAAGCCATGGACGACACTCAGTCAAGCCATGGACGACACTAAGTCAAGCCATAGACGACACTCAGTCTAGCCATGGACGATACTCAGTCAAGTCATGGACGACACTCAGTCAAGTCATGGACGACACTCAGTCAAGTCATGGACGACACTCAGTCAAGTCATGGACGACACTCAGTCAAGTCATGGACGACACTCAGTCAAGTCATGGACGACACTCAGTCAAGTCATGGACGACACTCAGTCAAGTCATGGACGACACTCAGTCAAGTCATGGACGACACTCAGTCAAGTCATGGACGACACTCAGTCAAGTCATGGACGACACTCAGTCAAGTCATGGACGACACTCAGTCAAGTCATGGACGACACTCAGTCAAGTCATGGACGACACTCAGTCAAGTCATGGACGACACTCAGTCAAGTCATGGACGACACTCAGTCAAGTCATGGACGACACTCAGTCAAGTCATGGACGACACTCAGTCAAGTCATGGACGACACTCAGTCAAGTCATGGACGACACTCAGTCAAGTCATGGACGACACTCAGTCAAGTCATGGACGACACTCAGTCAAGTCATGGACGACACTCAGTCAAGTCATGGACGACACTCAGTCAAGTCATGGACGACACTCAGTCAAGTCATGGACGACACTCAGTCAAGTCATGGACGACACTCAGTCAAGTCATGGACGACACTCAGTCAAGTCATGGACGACACTCAGTCAAGTCATGGACGACACTCAGTCAAGTCATGGACGACACTCAGTCAAGTCATGGACGACACTCAGTCAAGTCATGGACGACACTCAGTCAAGTCATGGACGACACTCAGTCAAGTCATGGACGACACTCAGTCAAGTCATGGACGACACTCAGTCAAGTCATGGACGACACTCAGTCAAGTCATGGACGACACTCAGTCAAGTCATGGACGACACTCAGTCAAGTCATGGACGACACTCAGTCAAGTCATGGACGACACTCAGTCAAGTCATGGACGACACTCAGTCAAGTCATGGACGACACTCAGTCAAGTCATGGACGACACTCAGTCAAGTCATGGACGACACTCAGTCAAGTCATGGACGACACTCAGTCAAGTCATGGACGACACTCAGTCAAGTCATGGACGACACTCAGTCAAGCCATGGACGACACTCAGTCAAGCCATGGACGACACTCAGTCAAGCCATGGACGACACTCAGTCAAGCCATGGACGACACTCAGTCAAGCCATAGACGGCACTCAGTCAAGCCATAGACGACACTCAGTCAAGCCATGGACGACACTCAGTCAAGCCATAGACGACACTCAGTCAAGCCATAGACGACACTCAGTCAAGCCATAGACGACACTCAGTCAAGTCATGGACGACACTCAGTCAAGTCATGACGACACTCAGTCAAGCCATGGACGACACTCAGTCAAGTCATGGACGACACTCAGTCAAGCCATTGACGACACTCAGTCAAGCCATAGACGACACTCAGTCAAGCCGTAGACGACACTCAGTAGCATTTTTTTTTTGTCAGATGTGGGAATGAGTCAGGATAGTAGATTTTTAAAAAGATGTGTTTTGAGAGCAGTTTTGAAGGCTGTGATGGTCGGTATATTGCGGATGTGTAATGGAAGAGAATTCCATTGTTTGGGTGCACAGAGAGAGAACTAGCGTTCACCGTATGTTTTTGTTCGAGTTCGATTTTCTAAAGAGCGTTTCTCATTGTGTGTGAGTCATAAGGGTGTTCTCTTCTTATGGAATACTTATTTGTAACATGATTTATTTAAGTTTATTGAGGAGTACTCACGGTTGGGTTAGGGTTCTTATCGATTAGTTCTCATTATGTAAGGGTCCTTTTGGTTGTATTTTAATAGTTTTTAAATTAGTATAATTATTGTATTTTAATTAGTTTACATATATATTTTAAGTGGTTCCTATTATGTGGGTGTCGATTTTCTAACGAACGCGTCTCATTGTTTGTGAGTCATAACCGTTTTTCTTCTTATGGAATACTTATTTTGTAACATGATAAGGTCATTTAAGTTTATTGAAGGGTACTCAAGATTCGGTTAGGGATCGGTAGTGATTAAAGCGATTGTTTTTGTTTATTTTATAGATATTGTTTTTTGTGTGGTGTGATAATTTAATACGGCGTTTTTAGTGAGTATTTTTGTTGTGGTATGGTTGAAGTAAGTTTATCGATGGGTTCTCATACTTGGGTTAGGGGTCATAAGGGAATGTATTTGTTGTGGTATGGTTGAAGTAAGTTTATCAATGGGTTCTCATACTTGGGTTAGGGGTCATAAGTATTATGGTATGGTTGAAGTAAGTTTATCGATGGGTTCTCATACTTGGGTTAGGGTGTCATAAGGGAGTGTATTTGTTGTGGTATGGTTGAAGTAAGTTTATCGATGGGTTCTCATACTTGGGTTAGGGTGTCATAAGGGAGTGTATTTGTTGTGGTATGGTTGAAGTAAGTTTATCGATGGGTTCTCATACTTGAGTTAGGACTCAAAAGGGAGTGTATTTGTTGTGGTATGGTTGAAGTAAGTTTATCGATGGGTTCTCATACTTGGGTTAGGGGTCATAAGGGAATTTATTTGTTGTGGTATGGTTGAAGTAAGTTTATCGATGGGTTCTCATACTTGGGTTAGGGTGTCATAAGGGAGTGTATTTGTTGTGGTATGGTTGAAGTAAGTTTATCGATGGGTTCTCATACTTGAGTTAGGACTCAAAAGGGAGTGTATTTGTTGTGGTATGGTTGAAGTAAGTTTATCGATGGGTTCTCATACTTGGGTTAGGGGTCATAAGGGAATTTATTTGTTGTGGTATGGTTGAAGTAAGTTTATCGATGGGTTCTCATACTTGGGTTAGGGTGTCATAAGGGAGTGTATTTGTTGTGGTATGGTTGAAGTAAGTTTATCGATGGGTTCTCATACTTGAGTTAGGACTCATAAGGGAGTGTATTTGTTGTGGTATGGTTGAAGTAAGTTTATCGATGGGTTCTCATACTTGGGTTAGGGGTCATAAGGGAATGTATTTGTTGTGGTATGGTTGAAGTAAGTTTATCAATGGGTTCTCATACTTGGGTTAGGGGTCATAAGTATTATGGTATGGTTGAAGTAAGTTTATCGATGGGTTCTCATACTTGGGTTAGGGTGTCATAAGGTAGTGTATTTGTTGTGGTATGGTTTAAGTAAGTTTATCGATGGGTTCTCATACTTGGGTTAGGGGTCATAAGTATTATGGTATGGTTGAAGTAAGTTTATCGATGGGTTCTCATACTTGGGTTAGGGTGTCATAAGGGAGTGTATTTGTTGTGGTATGGTTGAAGTAAGTTTATCGATGGGTTCTCATACTTGGGTTAGGGTGTCATAAGGGAGTGTATTTGTTGTGGTATGGTTGAAGTAAGTTTATCGATGGGTTCTCATACTTGGGTTAGGGTGTCATAAGGGAGTGTATTTGTTGTGGTATGGTTGAAGTAAGTTTATCGATGGGTTCTCATACTTGGGTTAGGGTGTCATAAGGGAGTGTATTTGTTGTGGTATGGTTGAAGTAAGTTTATCGATGGGTTCTCATACTTGGGTTAGGGTGTCATAAGGGAGTGTATTTGTTGTGGTATGGTTGAAGTAAGTTTATCGATGGGTTCTCATACTTGGGTTAGGGTGTCATAAGGGAGTGTATTTGTTGTGGTATGGTTGAAGTAAGTTTATCGATGGGTTCTCATACTTGGGTTAGGGTGTCATAAGGGAGTGTATTTGTTGTGGTATGGTTGAAGTAAGTTTATCGATGGGTTCTCATACTTGGGTTAGGGTGTCATAAGGGAGTGTATTTGTTGTGGTATGGTTGAAGTAAGTTTATCGATGGGTTCTCATACTTGGGTTAGGGTGTCATAAGGGAGTGTATTTGTTGTGGTATGGTTGAAGTAAGTTTATCGATGGGTTCTCATACTTGGGTTAGGGTGTCATAAGGGAGTGTATTTGTTGTGGTATGGTTGAAGTAAGTTTATCGATGGGTTCTCATACTTGGGTTAGGGTGTCATAAGGGAGTGTATTTGTTGTGGTATGGTTGAAGTAAGTTTATCGATGGGTTCTCATACTTGGGTTAGGGTGTCATAAGGGAGTGTTGTTTTTTAAATTGTTTATGTCAAGGGGATGCTAATGAATGGCCTTGTTGGTTATACGTTTAGTTATTTTTATTGGTTCTCAAGATCGAGCTGGAGCTCACTACTCAGAGGTATGGGTTGTAGTATGTTTGGTGGTTCTCATTGTGTGGGAGGTATAAGGGTGTATTCTCTCTTTTTTAAAAAAAAATACTTGTTTATTAACAAGATAAGGTTATTTAATTTTATTGAGGGTTAATCAAATGTTTCTCATTTTGAGTGGTTCTCATTGTGTTGGAGGGATAAGGGTGTTTTCTTTTTTTTTAAATACTTATTTTGTAACATGCTTAGGTTATTTAATTTTATTGACGTATACTCATTGTATAGGTTAGAGGTCATAGAGGCTTCAGCATTAATGGATGAAGGTTGATTCAGGATGTTGTCAAAGTGTTCAGCCCAGCGTTCAATAATTTTTCCTTCTCAGTGATTAGAGTTTACACATCAGCACTCAGACGTGGGGATGATCCTTGTGAGGTGGGACCGTAGACTGTTTTCAGAGCGAGGTAGACATATTTTAAGTCCTATCGGTCCGCATAGCCTTGGATCTCGTCGGCCTGGCCACTTAAACATTTATTCTGCATTAAACGCAGTTTCTGCTTAATCGTTCTTCTTTTACGTTGGTACGCATCTTTCGTTGGGATTGACTTCGTGTTGTACGCATCTTTCGTTGGGATTGACTTCGTGTTGTACGCATCTTTCGTTGGGATTGACTTCGTGTTGTACGCATCTTTCGTTGGGATTGACTTCGTGTTGTACGCATCTTTCGTTGGGATTGATTTCGTGTTGTACGCATCTTTCGTTGGGATTGACTTCGGGTTATTTAGGGAAACGAGGTGGAGACGATGTTTTTCCTGGAGCATTTGCTTGATTACAGCACATGCTATACTACTAACAATGCCATCCACCCATATTTCAATTTCTATGGATAAATAAAAGGCTCTTATAGCATCTTATTCTCATACATAATCCATGTTGCGTTGTATCGAAACTGTGGCCTTTCAAACGTGGACCGTCAATCAATTCCATGAAAAATTGTTAAACCTCATTGATACGACAAGTCTCTGAAAAATCCTAATCATCAAATGGCCGGATAGTGTCCTAGACACTGAGATACTTGCACAGGCAGGTCTCCCCAGTATCCTTAAACTTTAATGCAGTCTCAACTTCTCTAGGCGGCACATGAGATACGAATGTCAAACGACCGCTTGCCCAAAACAATATCCTGTGGTGAGCGGTTGACCGGTGCAAAGATGAAACGTTTAAAGACGCCTTTAAAGCTATGCTGAAAAGCGTTCAATATAGACACGGTCACAGAGCGAAGAGTGGGCAATGGCGTAAAAGTGTGGCGTTACTCTGTACACAAAGGCTCCATACACCATGTACCCAAACGAATAGCGGCTGGACAACACAAAATACATCACAGAAAAACCATGATTAACTCTGTACCATCAATCAACGGCACTTACTGCACAAGAGCATTTCATGCCAGAATTGATTCATCAGCCCTCTGCTTAACCGCACAAACGTTGACAAAAAGCATGTACGGTGATTTAAGGAAGTCGTAGTCTATATCGGCTGAAGAAATGTACGAATATTTTTTGATGACATTTACATTTCCTAGGCGTGACATGATCCACTCGATAATCTATAATAACCGATCTCTACCCTATACTTTATCGCTTAAGACAGTACATTAAAAACAAAAACTAAAACTGTATTTAGCAACCATTAGTCTCTAGCAACGCTCTAAACGTGGTGAATTGCAAGGTGTCTAAGAGGTGTTTCCCCTTCGTCATAGCCCCCATAACCTATCACAGAGTCGAAACTCCTTTCATCTTTTCCCATGCACAGCCGATGTGTTGTATGATACAATTCACACAAATCGGTGAACATTATCAGGTTTATTTATTTCATGGCTTCGTATGCATAAGAATTAAATACTGATGTATAGGATAAATAGAGTTGTCCAAAATTCCCACGCATCCTATTAAAAAAAAAATTAAAAACACTTTCACATCATCTGCCATCCACTACCATCGTTTTAAAATCAGTGACCACCAACAACATCATTTTGACACAACCTTTTCATTCTGGTACCCAGATCTTGTGGATGAGTTACTTAAAGTAATGGAGTTGAAAAATAAAATTAAAAAAAAACATTCTTTTTTTTCATTTCGTTTATTGTGTTATATTTTTAATAAATTTAACCAAAATAAAAAATAAAAAAAAAATCTATTTTTTTTACAGTGTGGTTGCCAACGTTCTGGTTTTCAAGTTCCTATTCGGAATGACGGATTATCTCCCTAAAGATATGCTTTTGCCGGATAGGATATTTCCCAGAGAAAGTCTCTGTAGGAAATCGTTGTTAAAGTTCTTTGCAGCCCCACTGATCGCCCTTTACGTTCAAGATTACTTCAAACCCGAAACGAAGGTCAAGGTAAAATGTCTAAATTATAAATCTGTTTGATTGAAAATGTCATGTAAAAAAACCGTTTCATTATTTGTGACCCAAGTTGTAAAGGGTTTTCTTTTAACGAACCCAAGAACTGGCTGAATTAATTAAACGAAATTTTCTGTGATGGTGATTCGATATATTTAAATAAATATTGATATCAGTCACAGTTATTTAAAAGGTATTGCCACTTGTGTTGCTAAAAATATATTTTACGCAAAGACGGTTGAGTATTTTTCTGGTGTGTTACGCACTGCCTTCTATTGTGAGAAATTAATCTCTTGTTTTAAGTTATTGGCTTGTAGTAAACAGTGCCTAACACAGGAAGATACCAAAGAGAAAGACAATAGCAAAAATACGACACCCAAAACAGTACTAATTTCAATTAATAAGGTTTATTTAAGTATGAATATAAGTACAAAAGTAATATAATTACAAGCATCAACTTACAGAGTATGAGAAGTCTTGTACCGGTACACAGTTAGTACAATGTGCCAATTAATAATGTAAAATGATGAATGCGAATAAACACATTTGAGTAAGCAAAGAATAATAACACTTGTGTCGTTAAGTTAAAAAATATCTCTATATCAATCTCCGTGTCTCTTTCAATTCCCTGGCTTTATTTATGTGGGTATCGCCTGCTTCTAAGAAGATTCGGGGGCAGAATATTCATTGTAGTTGTGACTCGAATATTCTCCAAATTTCTGTAATGTATCACAATTTGGTACCTCATTCGAGTCAAGAGGAACAGGCCATAGATTGTTTTGTGGTAAACAAAGATCAAAAGAAAATAGGCCACGCCCAACACGAGCGCTGTTTAATGTGGGGTCAACCAAAGTTCACGGCACGGGGGAAGTCCTACTTAACAGGTGCAATGTGATTAAAATAGAACAATACACCGAACATGTATAAATAGACAATTTAGTTGGCAATATGTATAAAATTAGAAATTATTTGGAAATATAATTTTTTTTTAACTATTTGAATTTGAGTAATGTGTTTGCTGTAACATGCGATATAGCGAATGTCCTAAACATCGTAAAACGATAGTTTTTATTTGTCTCATATGATTCCACAATCTTTTTTTTTTATTCCTTCATATATAAGATGTATATCATTTGGTTTAGTACATTTTTTTTTTATATTTTCCCATCAAAGGTCTCTTCCATCTTAGTAAATATTAGGAAAGAAACTGTCAAAGCTTTTACTGGTCTCCATTGGATGGATGATAAACTAAAGGAAGCGTTAATTCGAAAAGCCCAACTAGTGGAAATGGACCCGGCTTATCCCGACTGGATTCTTGACCAGGTCACTCTAGACAAAGTTTATGAAAAAGCTGAAATCTTTCCCGAAGAGCTTCTAAAAAGCGTCATTAGTATCAGAAAAGAGATTATAAGGCAACGCTTTCAACTCAAGCCTCATTCACCCACAATGTAAGTATTAATTTTAATTAGTTTGGTTTGGTAGCGAACAAGTAATCAGCAGAGGTAAAACAAGTTATTGATCATTCCATTACTGTATACAAAAAATTGAACTGAAAGTTATAATTAATAAAATAATAAAACATAATTACTATATTAATGTTCTAATTTTTTCTAAAATGATGAAGTCAATGATTTTTCCGAAATATTTTATCGTAAAATTTAAAAGGAACAATATTTTGTTTTTAATGATCCAATTTATTTTTAGTGAGCCAATTCTATAAGAATTATACACAGACAAGAGTTAACATCAATTTGATGCCACTTTTAAACATTTGACAAGGAGTTTCTGTCAAGTTGGAACAAAATCTTGGTTCTTGAAACGTCAAAATAATTCAATGGCCATTAAAGTTTAGGGAGACACAAAAAGTTGCAACCGTAACCATTTTAACCCATGTCCCTTTTTTATTGAAGTTGATAACATCTCGTTATCTATGAAAATATTCAGAAATCAAAGATTGTTTTACTAGCAAAAGTCAAAACGTGATTTAAGCAAATCTTTGTAAAAAAAAAAAAAAAGTGCGGGAAATAATAGGCATAGGAGACAGGTCACTGCCTAGAAGACCGTTCACCTGTACATCAACAATAAAGACTTTTGACCAGTTTCTAAGCAGTGCTAACAAAAAGGAATATTGTGCACCCAACAGAATTTATATGGAAAACAAATTAATACAAATAATTTCTACGTAGTCTCGATCTCGTATATAAGAAACTGACAATTTTACAAAGCTGCAATGTCTCTGTAACGATCATAGAGTGATGATGTTCCTTGTGGTTATTGCTTATATTATTTATTCACATTCACACACGTCACGTCCATGATTATCTAAAAAAGCACAATGGCCAGAACTCCAAGAATTTGCCTCACAACATTTTATAACTGAATACTGTACACCACATGAAATAATATCTCCATAAACCAGAGCAAATATAATTGTCAAAACTTCTTCCACTTCAGATTTGTTGAATCAACATTAAGATGCTGTTTACTACAAAAGTAATAATAGCAAGTGCTAAAAAAGAAATACACTCAAAGGCCATTCATCAGATATCTTCCCTCCGTATCCCAAAACTTCCTTAACTCCCCGTTCCTTCCACATAACAAATCAATACATTATTCGGAAACAAAATTAAAATCTAAATATTTGATCTGTGACAGTCTCTATTCCATATTTGATCTGTGACAGTCTCTATTCCATATTTGATCTGTGACAGTCTCTATTCCATATTTGATCTGTGACAGTCTCTATTCCATATTTGATCTGTGACAGTCTCTATTCCATATTTGATCTGTGACAGTCTCTATTCCATATTTGATCTGTGACAGTCTCTATTCCATATTTGATCTGTGACAGTCTCTATTCCATATTTGATCTGTGACAGTCTCTATTCCATATTTGATCTGTGACAGTCTCTATTCCATATTTGATCTGTGACAGTCTCTATTCCATATTTGATCTGTGACAGTCTCTATTCCATATTTGATCTGTGACAGTCTCTATTCCATATTTGATCTGTGACAGTCTCTATTCCATATTTGGTTTCTATCTTGTACTTCCAGCCATTTTCATTACGTTCTTCTGATCGTTATTTTTGCTTGGGACTCACGCCTGTTCTTATTCTTTTCTTTCATTTATAGTTATTGGTATTGTAAATGTAAAATATCATCAAAGCAGAGTATTCTCTGTCTTCCGAACACCATCTAAGTCTTTTTTTGTATGTCTTGATGAGGCTGCCCAACATTGTGACGTATAGTACGGTGTCTAGAGGTCGGTCCCTGCGTTATGGACACAGAAAAATTTGCAATTGTATAAAATACGTTTCTTTCGAACTCCTACGTTGAATGACCTTCTAGCCCCCTACAGAGCTGATGTGTTGAATGACCTTCTAGCCCCCTACAGAGCTGATGTGTTGAATTAACTTCTAGCCCCTTACAGAGCTGATGTGTTGAATGACCTTCTAGCCCCTACAGAGCTGATGTGTTGAATGACCTACTAGACCCTACAGAGCTGATGTGTTGAATGACGTTCTAGCCTCTACAGAGCTGAAGGGTTGAATGACCTTCTAGCACCCCACCCCCCCTCCCCCCCCAAGAGCTGATGTGTTGAATGAGGTTCTAGCCCCTACAGAGCTGATGTGTTGAATGACCTCTAGCCCCCTACTTAGTTTATGTGTTGAATGACGTTCTAGCCTCTACAGAGCTGATGTGTTGAATGACCTTCTAGCTCCCTACAGAGCTGATGTGTTGAATGACCTTCTAGCCCCTACATAGCTGATGTGTTGAATGACCTTCTAGCCCCCTACAGAGCTGAAGTGTTGAATGAACTTGTAGCCCCTACAGAGCTGATGTGTTGAATAACCTTCTAGCCCCTACAGAGCTGATGTGTTGAATGACCTTCTAGCCCCCTACAGAGCGGATGTGTTGAATGACCTTCTAGCCCCCTACAGAGCTGATGTGTTGAATTAACTTCTAGCCCCCTACAGAGCTGATGTGTTAAATGACCTACTGGCCTCTACAGATCTGATGTGTTGAATGACCTTCTATCCCCTACAGAGCTGATGTGTTGAATGATCTTCTAACCCCCTACAGAGCTGATGTGTTGAATGACCTTCTAGCCCCCTACAGAGCTGATGTGTTGAATTAACTTCTAGCCCCCTACAGAGCTTATGTGTTGAATTAACTTCTAGCCCCCTACAGAGCTGATGTGTTAAATGAACTACTAGCCTCTACAGATCTGATGTGTTGAATGACCTTTTATCCCCTACAGAGCTGATGTGTTGAATGACCTTCTAGAACCTACATAGCTGATGTGTTGAATGACCTTCTAGCCCCTACAGAGCTGATGTGTTGAATGACCTTCTAGCCCCTTAAAGAGCTGATGTGTTGAATGACCTTCTAGCCCCTACAGATCTGATGTGTTGAATGACCTTCTAGCCCCTACTTAGCTGATGTGTTGAATGACATTCTAGCCCCTACTTAGCTGATGTGTTGAATGACCTTCTAGCCCCTTAAAGAGCTGATGGGTTGAATGACCTTCAAGCCCCTACTTAGCTGATGTATTGAATGACATTATAGCCCCTACAGAGCTGATGTGTTGAAATTCAGAAAAGTGGTTTGTCTAAATTTCTATGACATAGTTAAAATAACAGCATCTTTACATTCAGATTTATGTATGGCTTTTCGTCTCCATGATATGACCCCCTCTACTGCAGATGATGTTGATCCGCATACCATAGTTCTTAGCTAGATCTGTGATTCCCATGACATTTGTACACAACCGACATGGATGCGTTCCAAATTTCAAGTTGAAGTGGGTTCAGCTTGGGTCTAAATACAGTGTCACGCACTTGTTCGTGGATTTCTCACCCAATAAAAATTTTTGCTCTCAGCTTAGCATCAGTTTTGTTTGATTCATAATGTTTTTTTAGAATCTGAACGCCTTGTTCATTACCATGCATGGCTACTACAATTTTTTTTTACGACGGCAATTTTTATGGGATGTTGTGTTGAGTGCACCTTAAAAGGAATGACCAATGATTCGTATGAAGTTGTGTGGAGGAGTACACTTTCAATGGAACAATCAATAATTTATATGAAGTGTGATGCACACTTTCAACGGATTGACCAATGATTTGTAAAACTTTTTGTTGTGCACACATTAAGTGGAGCGACTCATGTTTCGTATGAGATTGTGTTGAGTACATTTTCATTAGATTGACCTATGACTAATATGAGGTTGTTTGACGTTAACTTTCAATGGATCAATCGATGATTCGTATGAAGTTTTGTGACGTACTCTTTCAATGGATTTACCATTGATTCATATGAAGTTGTTTTGAGCACACTTCAATGGAACAATCCATGATTCATATGAAGTTTGTGTGATGTATACTTTCAATGGATTGACCAATGATTCGTATGAAGTTGTGTGACGTACACATTCAATGAATCGACCAATGATTCGTATGACCTGTGACGCACACTTTCAATGGTTCGACCAATGAGTCGTATAAAGTTGTTTTAAGTACACTTTCAATGGATCAATTAAAAGATTCGTATGTAATTGTGTAAAATACACTTTCAATGGAGCAATCAATGATTAGTAACGCATTTTGTGCCCAACAATAAAATGCTTAGATCTGGGTCTGCTTGACTTTTTATTGGTAGCTGTTGTGACGACTGATTCGCAAACAGAAGCGGACGTATGTTTTGTGTACTCCAGCTGTAGTTCTAGAAGAAGAGCTGCAGCGTTCAGGTTACAGCAGATGTTCAAGTTGATATCTTGAGTATTTGATTACATTTCAGGACGAGCTTAATTGAATATTAATATATCTATTTGAGGCCGACATTGAAACGTACGATTTTGTGTTACCTTTGTGTAACACAGCTGTCAAGCTCGCTTTGCAGGAATATATGAGCAGTCTCCACTAATAAGAAAGTCATTCGCAACAGAACTTCATTCTTAGACCGATCATATCAGCACAGAAACAGACATCATTTTGCACTTAATAATTTGTATGTATATTAATTACAAAATATTTATTGTATGAATACATTAATTAAAATCTAGACGCGGTGGGCAGAATGTGACGTCATACTCTAAACGCGTTAAAGTACATTAAACCCTTCTTGTTTTACTATCAATAACAAAACATGTGTTGTTCGCTGTAATCTCGAGTCATTTCGATATTTTCTAAGTTGCCCCAACAGATATTTCAAATTATAACATTTCTTAAAAATACCGGCGCGTACACAGGTGTGGTTGGAATTTTTTTTTTTTAAAACAACATATGAAAATGAGTCTTGTTAGAGACTTAACTTTGTAATACAAGATGACGCAAAAAAATTTTTTTAAAATTTAACGGAGCAGCATAAAGCTGTTTAATTCTATTTCATTTACTCATGTTACGCTTTTAACACAAAAAAAGTATTTTTAAAGGATCTTTAAAAAAAAAGTAGGAAAATTGAAACTATGGGGTGTGATATTTGAAAAATGAATAGTTTTATAAGTCATTGGCGTCGAAAATGCGCTGGTATATGCTAACAAGGGATTTACTGTTTTGCTAAAAATATGTTATCTAAATACTCTATTAGCTTTTTTTTTTTTTTTTTTTTTTTTGGTTTAATTTTAAATAACACACGTTATTTTTATATTTTTTCAGGGTGGAAAATATATGGTTTTATTTTTTTTACTGTTTTGCTAAAAATATGTTATCTAAATACTCTATTAGCTTTTTTTTTTTTTTTTTTATCTTTGGCTTAATTTTAAATAACACACGATATATGTATATCTTTTCAGAGTGGAAAATATATGGATTTATTTTTATGACATTATCAATATTTGAGGTTACAGATGAGGGAATTGGAATTTAATCATTCTTAAAAATAAAAAAAAATAAAATTTTATAACGTTTCTGACCTTGTACGTCATGGATAAGTATGGGGCTTTGAAAATTGGCTGGTAAATTTTAAGAGTACATTGACCCACAGCCGGATTAAGTTGCAGGCCTGAGATTAGGGTGTTGGATTATGCTTATCATTGGAAAGGGGAGGCTAATGGTTTGAGTAAATGAAACCCCGGAAGTTCATGTTAAATTTTAAAACATTGTATTTCTTCTCCTGTTAAAGAACATATATTGACGTGGTAGAGGGACACACTGACACGATTGCCAGACTAGCAGAAGTACCGCCCACGTGATATCGTATGGGAAAAAAATGTAGAGTTTTACAGCCATTTGGAGAAAAGCAACTACCTAATGTCTTTATACAAGAAACACAACACCACAACAAAGACTGACAAAGGGCAAGTTAAACTAATCGCAACACAGACCGACACAGCACAGACTAGACTAATCACAACACAGACCCACGCAGCACCGGCTCAACTAATCACAACACAGACCTACATAGCACAGGCTAAACTAATCACAACACAGGCCGACACAGCAGAGGCTAAACTAATCACAACATAGTCCGACACAGCACAGGCTAAACTAATTACAACACGGACCGACACAGCACCAGACGAACTCATTTCAATTGCGAGAGCATGGTTTATAAGAATATCATCACCTGCATATGAAATGACCTCCATGCAAAATGACCTGTATCTAAAACAACTTGCATATGAAATGAACTGCATTTAAAATGACCTGAATATAAAATGACCTCATATGAAATGACCTGCTTATGAAATGATCTGTACATGGAATGACCTGCATATGAAATGAACCCACGTTAAATGACCTGCATTTGAAATGACCTCATATGAAATGTCCTCATATGAAATGAACTGCATATGAAATGACCTCTCGTGAAATGACTTGCATATGAAATGACCTCGTATGGAATGACCTGCATATGAAATGACCTCTTTTGAAATAACCTGTATATGAAATGACCTGCATATGAAATAACCTTTATAGGGAATGACCTGCATATGAAATGACCTGCATATGAAATGACCTGCATATGAAATGACTTTCATATAAAATAACCTGCATAATGAAATGATCTTCATATGAAATAACCTGCATTATGAAATGACCTGCATATGAATGACCTCATTTAAAATGACGTTATTTGAAAATTTGAAATGAACTCATACGAAATCAACTCATTTGAAATGACGTCCAAGAAATGATTAAGGGAACCGAAATAGACCTGATCTCAGATATAAAAAAAAAATTCAACATTTTTTACAAAGGTCGTAAAATGCATTTGTTAACATATACAAACCGTAACAAATAAACCTAACTTTATTCACCCAGGGAACAGATTATACTTCATGATCGTGCTCACCTGGGATTTGAATGGTCACTGTCCTCAATGGGGAAAACAACATTACAAAATCACTGGGCAGGCAATTTTCTGTTTTCCTTCCTCAGAAGTTGGGAGCACATGCCTTTCGACGACTATGCTTTTTTCAATGCTCGATTGCTTACCATCAATATCACCATCTCTTACTTGCAGCCCCCAATATACAGTCCTCTCTTCCCGATGTAAGTACAACTTTACGAAATTTTCTCACGGAAAATATTTGCAGATAAATCCTGCAACTTCTTGTGTATGCACGTATTTTTATTGATTTTTAAAAAAAAAAAATTAATGGTATCAGTCTATTAATGTATTTGTTATTTTATACGTTTCTTTACTTATACCAGTATGTTAATGAGTTCTTAATTTTTAAAAAAAATTAATTATTTGTACCAGTATAGTAATGACTTCATTAAGTCTAGGGTTATGGTGTTTTTTTTGTATTATGTCTTTCAATCTAATAATAATAGTAAGTGCCTTAAATACTACAACGATGTCTTATACTAAAGCTCGAAGAAAACAGTTTTCACAACAAAGCTACACTTTATTAAAAAATAAACCATTTGCACGTGATAGAGAACACAATAAAAAATATGACTTTACTTTGAAGATTTCCAGTGAAGCATCAAGGACATAATGACAAACGTGGTTACCGTTGCTATGTGTAACATTTAGACAATGAAATAAAGGCGAGGTTTAATTAAAAACTGCAAGAGAAAATGATCCATTAGAAATTGACATAATTCACTTAGATGCGATGACCTAGTTCCCGGTTTAGAGGATTGTCGTTGCTTGTTTATTTTCGATTTCTCACCACACTTACTTTGGCCATAGAGATAGACAGCACTAGTAAGACACACACACACACTGGCGAATGGGTCATTTTAAAATATCTGACCTCGAGTTGAACACTAATTTGAGATTTTATACTCTGCTGGCGGGTCTAAACGATTCTGAGACAAGTTTGAGCCATAGAGCAATACGATACATCATATGATTTGAATACTATTTTATTCATTATCTAGTGTTTAACAGGGCGCAGTTGTGCTTTAATCGGTTTCGGAAATTTTGAGAAAGCACCCGGTGTTATAAAATAAGATTTAGTTTTTTCAATTTCTATGACATGCAATGAAATCCAAAGCACTAATCAGCAGTGAGAGTGCATTGCCTTCCTCAACTTTTTTCTAGTAAGAGACAACCCACTGAACGGAAAGTTGCCGGATCTCGGCATAGAGATGATGTTGTACGAAAACCCATCGACCGAGAAGATACTGTCGTTCATTTTATAACAGGTTAAAAAAGGACTCACATGCGCACACAGGACCGAAGTGAAAGGACCGCTCAGGACCCAGTTCTGTGTGCTGTACAGCGCAAGAAGATTTTTTTTTCTTTAAAAGCGTGATTAAAAAAAAAAAAATGCTCTACACAGAAGATACAAACATGTTTACCGGAGTTCAGACGCCACGCAAGAAGCTCGCTGCGTGACTGTCTGTATTAACCATTACTTTTAAAATAAAACATTTGGAGGTGGTGGTGGGCAATTTTAAAGAGGATGCAGGTCGTACCAGAAGCAAAATAGATATAAGAGGTCAAGGATTTTTCTCTTCATAATCACCCTCGACATGAGGTGAAATCGCTGAGGGGAAATTGTGAGGTGAAGACTGGTTAACGCTTCATTTTAACACAGTTTTAATTTTTTTCTTTGTTCACGAACCAAGCTTGAATGGTAACACATATTATCGTTTTGGAAGGATAACATTTGCAACATTGCTTTTCAAGCAGCATGATTTCGATTAGGATACCACCAGTTGGTCATTATAACACGAGTATTTCTATTTATAAAACATTAGTGAAACTGAAATAGTAGCAATGGGGGCGTACTATAATAGTTTCCCAAACAATTTAGAGATCCTGTCGTTGATACCTTCTGGTACTTGTAGTTTTAAAAATTGTCCAGGCTAATGCTACTCATTTATTATTAAGTTAGTCCAACAAAAATATTTGACAAGCGTATTCCATAATACACTCATTACACACATATGACACATATGATACACATATAACACACGCATTAAATATATTACCTTTTCACTTACATTGAATAACTTAACAATTATCTTTAGATCATTTCAGTACGGAAGTCTTGGTCGTTTGATTGGCCACGAATTCATGCACCCCTTTGATATTGGTAATAGACGGGTCGATAGAAACCTCTTGCCGATTTCGCCCGGCTGGACGTCTTCCGCTAATGAATCCTTCATGGCGGGCGTCAGTTGTCTCGTTGACTTGTACAGTTCATGCACGTACGATGGCATACGGGTAAGTTGATGCAATAGGGTTGTCTCAAATACTTCCTACATCAGGAGTCTCAAACTCGTAGCTCAAGGGCCCTTTGAGGCCCGCAAGACTATATTTTGAGGCCCGATACATGACAGCAAAGTTTTGCATAATGCGGTCCGCGCGTTTTACACATGTTCAAATCTATAATGTAACCCAACGTGATGGTTTTAGTCGGATCTCACCGACTAGTATAATCCTGAGTTTTCTTATATTTGTATAGGTTTGAACGTTGATTATAATTGTAAAGCAAAAAATTGAAATCGAAATAAAAGTTTCAAATTGATAGCATTTTATAAGACAAACCTGGTCAAATGTGTGGTTTTGAAAAAAAAAAGTTTTGAAAGTCAGTTACTGGGTATGCACAACCATAATTGTGTAAATCGTAGCAGTCTGACACAAGAACCCCTATTAAAATTGCCGCTAGTGTGTATGAGTGACGAGTGAGTGCGATTCCAAACCTAACAGCTTGGTCACTTTCCAAATAGGGTTAGTCAGAAAGTAATTGTATACGATTAAAAAGTAGCCAAAAGTAATCAATTTAATTTAGTTGTTTTGTGTATAGATATCTATTTAGGGACATCCTTCGTGGGCTGTTGAGAAGTTCGCATACCTTGGCTCCTTTATCTCTAGTTCCCCTCCGTTGATAAAAGAGTGAGCATCATGATTGCGATAGCATAGGCACCTATGGCTACTTTGTATAAATTGTGGAATAATCTTTAATAAACTCATAGTAAAAAAATAAGCATTTATAAGGCTGCGAAGTGTGGACCAAATGCTCCAATCATGAGCTTAGATCCAGAAGCTTCCATCAAAGATGTCTGTGTCGAATTTTACGCATTTAATGGCAGGACAAGGTGCACACTTTTTTATTTTTAAATATAATATTTATATAAATATATATAAATATATATATATATATTTAAAAGGATAATCAAATAATTAAATGGAAATTTTACATTTACGATTAATCCATATTTGGAAATAGAATAGTAAAACATAATTACTATTTAAAATTTAGCTTCTGGTGTATATAAGATAAATGGTAAAACGAATAATTCAGCTTTTCGGCACTCTAAAAAAGATATGGAATCCATCAAATACTCTCCTTCAAATGATACTCAATTTCCTTGTATTTCTTTTATTTTTTCATATATTATATACATCTCCAAAATATTTTTGTCCGTTTAGTTCTTAATTTTTCAATGTAACAATTCAGGTATTCTTTCACTTCCTGTATTCTTGGTTTTGGCAAATACAGTTACCTGCAACAGTGAGGGTGATCACTTAATCAATTTTTTTTTTAAATTTAATTTCTATTTCTTGTGGTATTTTCATTTTTGCTGTCAGCTGAGGAAGGCTCTTAGTCAAAACGATCTTGCTTGGTCAAGGATGGGAGAAACCCTTTTGTTATGTGCATGTTACTGGTGTTATGTTGGCTACGGAAAAGATATTTCATTCCCCCAACAGTAGCATCTTCCTACGCATCAATAATTAATCATTATGGTCTACTCCAGTCTACTCTTTGAAAACGTTTTAGTTTTAGAATCGCTCGTTGGAATGACCTTACTTTTATTTTCGCTTTATGCTTTTTTTTCGTCTGTGAGTGCTAGAGCTCATTATTCTCATATAATTTATTAGCTGGATATTTTTAGATTAGATCACCGCGAATTGAATTTCTTTCCTAAGGATATAACCCCGTTAACAATGGTACGCAATGTGACGGCCCGGTCTAATTGTGGAGTTTAGGGGTGTCGCGATGCTCAATATTCGAATTTGATTGTCTTGTTAGCCCAAGTTTTGGAACAAACTAGCACAAGTATGTGCAGTGATTAGTGATTGTTTTCGCCAAAATTAATGTATATTTATTTGATGAAACTAAAACTGCAGAAAATGTTTGCTGACTTAATATCAGCCAAAAGGAGAAGGATAGGATGGTTGTTCATGTAATAAACAGGATCCCAAACGGCTCATGGACTTGGCTTATCTTGTTCACCTTACGCAGGAGCTTAATGTACTCGACAAGAAATTACAAGACTAGGGTCAGTGTTGCCTATGACAATGTCAGGGCATTCTGCACAAAACTTGTGTCATGGTTCCCAGAGAAATCTCTGTCATTTATCAAAATGCAAAGTACTCACGAACTTTGGCACACCATTCAGTAGTAAGTATGCAAATGCCATTGCAAAGCTACAAAAAGATTTTGATCACATGTTTGCAAACTGCAAAACTCACAGGGCCACTTTTCAAATTTTCGCTGACCCTCTCTCCTACATCGTGGAAGATCCTCCCACACCCCACCCCAAACATTTTGCGCCTCTAATGGGGCTGATTGATCTTCAGTGCAATTCTGAACACAATGCTTTGTTCCTGGAGGTGAAAGGGGAAAGAAACAGACAAGTTTGGACAATTTATGAGAGAATCGCCCTCCATTTTCCCTGAGAATTTCAAGTTGTTCAAGCGGATCATGTTCCTCTTTGGGAGTATCTGAGTGAAAATCTTTTTTCCACACGTCAAAGTTCAGAGCAGAACTGACTGATGAGGACCCTCCAACTATACTGTGGGTCTCAGTTGCTTTCTCACTCCAGCCAAATGTTGCTCAGCTGTTTTAAGAAGAAATGCTTCCAGGTCTCTGGCAACAATGAGTAGAGGAAGTAAGTGAAGCCTAGATCTTTAGAACCTTTAATGTTTTTATTTTTTTATTAATAAAGTTTGATCAGATTGTACTAATTATTTTTACTGAAGTTTTTATCACTTTTTTGGCCCAGTTTCACTCAGACTCTACCTCCTGTTGCCCCCGGATAATTTAAGTTTGAGAACCCTGTCCTTCATGTATGTACAACATAGATGTCCAGTAGAGACAAAACATACACGATGGTGTATAGCTAAGTAGACGAGCTTTCATTGCGTAAAAATATCACCTTAGACAGATATTTAAAACCACATATAATAATAATTTAAGGGACGAGAATAAAATTGGGCAAAAATAATACCTTCAAGGATGCAACCTCAAAATTGTCTGAAAGAAACAGAGAATTCAAGTATGAACCAAAATGCATTCCTTTATTTTGAATTTTCCCGAGAGTCTTTGACACCCTATTTTTCTGCATTCATCTCCCCTTACGTTGAGCAGTGTGACAGTATGGGGTTTAATCAATGGGTTTGCCAAATAATTACTCTATTTATCCTCATAACTGTACTGAATTAAGTTCATGAAGACACTGGGCTCCATTACGCGCCCCTCCCCCCCAACCATTTTTCGTTTAAAAATTCCTGCCCCACAAAAAAATAGAAACACCGATTTCAGGTTTACTTGGAAATGTACCTCTTGATTTTGACATTATCAAAAATGTTTTGGGTAGGTGAATCCAGGGACAGTACTTTCACACTCACTTTCAAGATAAAAGCTCTGTAGTTATCCGAAAATACCGCCCCAGCCATAATAAAAACTTGACACTTGGGTGGGCCACCCCATTCCCCCCCAACCCTTCTACGTCTCTGGCAGGGGTGTAGCTAGAGTGTTTGGCACCATGGGACAATATTCATTTTCACGCCCCCCACCCCCTTTTTTTCAACTCTGGAAGCCAGTATTATTATTTAATAAATACCACCAACGCTAATTTTTGCGCCCCCACTAGTCTAGTGCCCTGGGACGTCTTCCCCCCTGAGCTGCCCCCCCATTCCCCCCCAACCCTTCTACGTCTCTGGCAGGGGTGTAGCTAGAGTGTTTGGCACCATGGGACAATATTCATTTTCACGCCCCCCCCCCCTTTTTTTCAACTCTGGAAGCCAGTATTATTATTTAATAAATACCACCAACGCTAATTTTTGCGCCCCCACTAGTCTAGTGCCCTGGGACGTCTTCCCCCCTGAGCTATGCATCTGGGATTTGACACTGCCCCCCCCCCAACACACACACTTAAATCTAAAATGCCCCTCTGAGGAAGATGCCTGAAAGAAACATTGTTCATATTTGTGATGGAACAGAGTAAGCAATCATCCTAATTGTTAGTGAGGATATCAAATCTAATATCTTAATGAAAAGAGCAGACCGTTGAGCCAGAGCTCATTAAGACTTCTCCAAAATACCCTCTTTTCCACCAACCCGAAAAGCGCTAGACAAGTCGGGCAACGAAGCGGCACGCTGGAGTCACTTTTTCACTGAGACAGCCCTACCCGGCTTTCACGCAATTGACCATGCATGTGGGGCGACACCAAACAATGAAAAGCTGGTGATTCTCTCCTTTCTCCTCCTTTTGTTAGAGACTGCGATGGATATATTTTAATGTCCCGAAAAAACAACCCGTCCAATCACGGGATGATGTCTACTTGTTGTTTCTACTTTGTGATTATGTCACATCGTAGCTGGGGCGAAAGATTAATAGCTATTGTATATTATGAATTTATTTTTAAACAACTGATATCTTTGACTATTTAAGGCCAATGGATATAAAGCCGTAAATGAGGACGTCTGTGATAATGAAGGTCTCAAACTTGCTTATCGGGCATACAAATCGTTAGGTAAAGTCTACGATCCACGTCTACCTGGCCTGAACCTCACGGATGACCAGATGTTTTTCCTGGCCTTTAGTCAGGTAAGTTCCCTTAGAGAATGAGATGGGATGTTAAATTTTATTTTTAGGTGTGTCATTTGGTTTTTAAAAATTCTTTTGAGAGCTTAGTCTAATTAAGTATTTAACCACCCTTAAAATTCAGTCTGGTGAAAAATGCAAAGAACCTGCTTGTAAAGTCAGTCAAATGAATTACAAAAACGTCATGTTTAGCTTATGTTTATATTCAAACTTGTTATTGAATAATCCATTCTCGAGCTCATATAAATTCAATCAAATATAAAGATTTAGATTGAATGCTAGAGCTCTGTAGTTTATATCGAAAATAATGGTTCACATAATTGTTTTAAAAAAAAAAAACAGATGCTAATGAGAACTGGGACAATGAATTGCTGAGGAAATGTCACAAGCAATAATGTACGGTTGGAACAATGCAGCCATAGTTCTACATTCGTTGCAAAAAGTATTTTGTTTTAGGGTGATTTTCCTGTTCCTGTGTGGTACAGCAAAATGCTAAATATAATAATAACAAAGATTATTTGAAAATCACGTTTCATCTCCAAAGGTTCAAAGCGCGGTACATAACACATTCAAGTACAAAATGCAACACTACAAAAACTACATACGAGAATATCCATTCTAAGTCTTTCATACCTTTCAACCATAAACAACACAAGCCAATATACATCTAAAAGATAATAGCTAGATAGACAAAGTCACCCCAGCAGGTGTTTGCGAAATAGATAGGTCTTCAAATCAGTTTTGAAAGACTCCAGTGTCTGGCTGCTTCTGTGGGCGTCAGAAGGTGTGTTCCAAATTGTTGGGCGAGCAAATGCGAACGTGCACCTTCCGTAAGTCTCAAGGCGAACACGTGGTATCGAGAGTTTGCCACTATCGGATGATCGGAGGTGTCTAGTGGGTACATAAGTCGTCGGTAGCGCTTTGGGATAGGACGGCGCCAGGTCATGCAAGCAGCGGTAGCACAAAGTTGAAATTTTGTACTCTATGCGAGCGCGGACTGGCAGCCAATGCAACTCTCTCAGAAGTGTTTTAGCATGGTCGCTTTTGCGTTTTTGAAGAACAATGCGAGCCGCATTATTCTGTGCTTTTTTAATTTTTTTGAGAAACCTCGCCGGAAGACCCACCATGAGAGCATTACAGTAGTCCATGCGGGATAGCATGAATGCAGACTTCAGTCTCTTTGATGCAGCTAACGTTAAGAAAGGTCTGAAATGACTAATTCTGCGCAGCTCTAGTATAATCGCCTTGCAAAGCATGTTAATGTGATTTTCCATAGCTAGTGTTCTGTCTAAGTAGACACCCAGGTTTAGCACTGTTTGAGCAAACTCAATCTGTATACCCAAGAGAGTAAGGGTTTGTGTGTATCTATATGTTTTAGCGTTTGAGCGGTAGCAATTGGGATCAGCTCGGTCTTTTCATCGTTCAATTTCAGCTTGTTTATTGTCATGCAGTGCTTAACTGACTCCACTGTAATTTATAAGCCATTCCCCAATTATCTGTATCTAGCAGTACCGCATACAACATATTTTAATCCAACCTATTATCTGTTTCCAGCATGCAGAACTTAAAAACAAAAAAACAACTGTCTACATAGTCAACTCATCAAGTTGTCATGGAAAATATGTCAAACGAATTTACATCGTGTCTATATACTCAAAACCTCACTTGTTTTTGTAGAATGACTTCACTAATTGCTTGTAGTTTCTTGTTTTTGTTGTTGTAGTCACATTTTGCAATTAACAATGCAATGTGGTCAGTGGCATAGCTAGGGTTGGTGCCGCCCGGTGGAGACAAGATTTTTTCCCGTCCTATTTCACTTAAAAACTGTACAGTAGTCAGAAAATGACGCAACTTTGTATTAGGTAGAAATGCCACCCGGGGCGGGCGCCCTCTACTCCCCCGCTACCAAAGCCTCTGTATTTGGTGTAATGCACTCAATCCAACCCATTGGTGGTTTGATAAGAAGCTTTGCTAAGCTGTCCTTTAAAGGCTAGATTTGAAGCTCATTTTATCCTTATTAAGTGTTGTCACTGGTATTCTTGACAGCCTTGCTCAAACATGAATGCCTTGTTGTCCCTGGCTGCTGGTACATCAGTTTGAAAATTAGACTAAAGTTATTTCCCTTTTCTTCTTTGCGTTTGAAATTGTTTTTTTATAGCATTCTAGCATCAGTCCTCTGTTAATCGCCAAGTCAATCCATGATATTAATTCGAGGCTTATAATCAAGAAAATAGACTTAATGTTTGATTAATTAAACAAATTGCTGTAGAAATCCATTGCACCCAGTGAACACTTACATGAACTATAACGGTATTTTTGTTTAGTAGTCATTTGCTTGAATAATGTACTTTACTTTAGGTTATATACCTATTCTGTCAGTAGTGTAGGATTGGTTTGAAACGTACTTTACTTTAGGTTATATACCTATTCTGTCAGTAGTGTAGGATTGGTTTGAAACGTAAGTACTGCTCATCTACGTTGACTTTGCTAAAAAATAAACTATATTTTTAACACTCGGAATTTATAAAACGATATATACATTAATTTTTTTGTAAACGTATTTTACTTGACCAGAGTTACTGCATAATAGACGCAGGTGGTAAGGCGAAGCGTGGCGGAAAACATAATGCTCACAGAATCAGGTAAGAAATGTCTTGAAAACTTAATTCAATGAATGAATGAAACACGTACGATTAAGTTTCTGACCTCTTTGAGTCAACTTTGTTTCTGAATAATTTCATAATAATAATTTTGACGAATTTATATTCCTATTGTTCTAATCGTCTTTCTTTAACCAGGGCTTTGGGGACTATCTCAAACAGTGAGGAGTTCGCCAAGGCGTTTAACTGCCCAGCTGATTCACCTATGAATCCAAAGAAAAAATGTCCAATTTATTAAAGGGCAACAAGAAATGCACGTGTTGGAAATAGTTGTGTTTGTAACGAATTGCGCTATCGCTGAGTATGTGAGCGAATCATTCTTTGCCAGCATAGGACACAACTCCCTTTATGAACAGTTGTTGGTGAATATGCAGCAGTTTTATTGTATGATTTTTAAGACCATGCTAGCCAAATTCAATCTGGTTAGATGAAAAATGTTGTATCTTTCTAAAAGTTCACCCTCTTATTGATTTTTCAGAGATCATATTTAAGTATAATTTGAAAGCCCTAAATGTAACATAACAATATAAAAAATTTTGCTTTTACATCAGCTATATTAAACACAAAAAGAACTATTTTAAAATCTAGCTCAATGAAATTAATAAAAGATTCAAAAACTAGATTCTACTTGATTTTTATATTATCTTTTTTGTTTGTTTGCATATATATATTATTAAAATTATTTATATCGAATTTCAAATGTGATTTTTAAACGAATTACCCTGATAAGTCATAGAATGTTATAATTTATAATTTGAATTTAAATACGAAATAAACCTATTGTGGAGAGATTTATATGTAAACAAAAATGGATCGTCATTTCAAAAAATTAAAAATAATTATTGTTTTAATAATCCTTTATATAAACTTCGCTTTTGTTGTTGGCTTGGCTTGCTGTGTGGCTGACTGGCAAAATCTTCGTAAGGCTTATGGACCCACTTTCCGTCAACCTATCAGGCTGAATCTTAGCACATAAAAACGTTTCCAATGGTAACACATTCTTTCAAATTTTCAGGCTCATCCCCTAACATAAATCCACAAGGGGATGCCAGGAAATAAGATGACACTGGCGTCACGAAATGATACCCGATAACTGCGCTAGATCAGATTATTTTAACATAAAAATCGCCAGTGCGTTTGACGCGTAATATTTTCGTGTTTTTTTCTCCTGATATATTTTGTGAAATTAGTCTGCGGGGTAAAAACGGGATGGACATTGGAATATTTATATCGATAAGGAGCGTGAAACTTAAGGTGGGGTTACATAATTTCAGAGCACACACTGCTCGGTCTAACCGAATTTCATAAAGAGATAACCCACATGTGTCAAACTCAAGGCTCGTGGGCCTGCCGTACAATTATATTAGGCCCGCGAGATATTTACCGGCGTTCAATTATTTCGTGGCCACAACGAAGTTGAATCTTCGTTGATTTGAGAACAATTTCTTGAAATGTTGGAGATTCTATCCAAATATGACACAGTGCTAAAAGAGCACCTAATGAGACTAAAGAGGAGTACATCTACAGTAAAAGCATCCGCATCTTACCTGTAACCAGAAATAAAAGTTGAATTTTTATGTACTTGCAAATCACGTAAAGGAGGCCTTATCATGATATAAAGGCGATGGGGAATTTTGGAATTATTTTCGACAGAACTCTTGATATATCACACACTTACTAGAGAAAGTTTAATTGAGACAAGTGTTTTTAGATTTTTTTTCCTTTAGGGGGGAAAAAATCTAATGACTTCAGTTCTGACACCTTACAAATGGTGTAGACATCGCCTTGTGCAGAGCTCAAGGTTACGATAATGCTGGCATAATGTCTGGAATCCATGGAGATGTTCAGGCCATTCTGAAAATGAAATACCAGGTAAAAAAGAAAGATTTTTAATTGATGTGTGGGCCAAATGCTTAACTTGTGTGGTCAACACTCTTTTGCCGAAAATGCCTCATGTTCAAGTATTACATTTCGGTACTTTTGAGAGAACATTTCCCATCTTTCCTGCATCAGATCAAAAAATGGAATGTTGTAATTAAACAGACTGGAATTTCAATGAAAAGTCCGTCAACAACACGCTTAGGTTCTCATCATGCTGCTGTAAAAACAGTGATAGGTGAGTTTGATGTATGTTTTGCGGCAATTGATGCTCTATGTTATTCTCTTGAAAATTTGGATGCAAGAGGTACAGCACAAGATCTTTGCATGATGTTGTCTGTTATTTCACATTTATCTGCTACTTTTACCTTTGTGAAGATCTAGAAGTTAAACATACACATCAGAATCTTCAGACTAAAGGATTTACTCTAGACAAAGTGGTGACCAACCCAAAGGCCTTAAGATTCTTTCTGCAGGGAAACCGCAGTCACTTGGTGTAACATGTTATTGAAATTGAAAAGACACTTTTAAAATCTGACCAATATGGATTTCGATAGAGAAAAGATTAAGGTTTAAGAAGAGAAGGTAGGAGAACAATTAATAGACGATAGACCATCTCCGTGAGAAAAAACACTAGGGAGATGCTTAATCGCTTACATGCTGAATTCCAGATAAGAACAAAAGCCATCAAGGAAGTAGCAGAAATGTTACGGGCTGCTTAACCCAAAAGTCTAATAGAGTCAGCAAGCGATAAAGAGTTATTGGTGTTCGTTCCAAAAGAAACATCTTTCTGTGATGCTTTAATTAAGATGAACTTTTAAATTAAAAACGAAGGTTGAGAGGAATTATAAAGGCAGCTGAAATAAATTGCTTAAAGTCATTGGCTAGTTAGTATTTAATGATTTGAAATTAATAGCTGAACTCTTCCTAGAATCTCTTCCAATACTCCAGATTAGCCTTCAGTTGTTTATTACGATCTCTGTGTCTGTGGCTTCATGTGAGCGGAGATTTTCAAGGGTAAGACTTATGAAGAACTAATTACAATGGACCATGGGACAATTAAGGCTTTCTGATCTGACTCTCCTATCTTTTAAAAATGATATGGTGAAGGATATTGTATTCTCCTGACCTCAAGAAAGGCTCACCTCATTTCTGACACATCAACCTTGAAGTTTTAATAAAGAATGCATTTCGATTGGCTATCTGTGTGGAAAATGTGCGTTTGATCGGTTGTCCTTTTAAGAAATTCGGTTACATCAAGTAGTGTTTGTGCTCTGCAACTATGCAATTTTTCGAAAATGGTGTCACCCACAGAGATCGTGTCACCCACAGAGATCGTGTCGACCACAGAGATCGTGTCACCCACAGAGATCGTGTCACCCACAGAGATCGTGTCACCCACAGAGATCGTGTCACCCACAGAGATCGTGTCACCCACAGAGATCGTGTCACCCACAGAGATCGTGTCACCCACAGAGATCGTGTCACCCACAGAGATCGTGTCACGCACCGACATCGTGTCACACACAGAGATCGGGTCACCCACAGAGATCGTGTCACCCCCAGAGATCGTGTCACCCCCAGAGATCGTGTCACCCACAGAGATCGTGTCACACACAGAGATCGTGTCACCCACAGAGATCGTGTCACCCACAGAGATCGTGTCACACACAGAGATCGTGTCACCCACAGAGATCGTGTCACCCACAGAGATCGTGTCACACACAGAGATCGTGTCACACACAGAGATCGTGTCACACACAGAGATCGTGTCACCCACAGAGATCGTGTCACACACAGAGATCGTGTCACACACAGAGATCGTGTCACCCACAGAGATCGTGTCACACACAGAGATCGTGTCACCCACAGAGATCGTGTCACCCACAGAGATCGTGTCACCCACAGAGATCGTGTCACCCACAGAGATCGTGTCACACACAGAGATCGTGTCACCCACAGAGATCGTGTCACACACAGAGATCGTGTCACACACAGAGATCGTGTCACCCACAGAGATCGTGTCACCCACAGAGATCGTGTCACCCACAGAGATCGTGTCACCCACAGAGATCGTGTCACCCACTGCAGTCAGCAGCCCCGCACCACCTAGCTAAGCCACTGCTGTGAATTAAATAAAGAATACTATATAACTGACCTAAGTTTAATGCTTAGCTTAGTGTTAGGTAAATGTAAGCTAAATTTCAATTAAAATAAAGCTAAATGTACGCTAAATTTCAATTAAAATTAAGCTCAATTAAAGTTAAATTTAAGTTAAAATTAGGCTAGATGTATGCTAAATTTAAGTCAAAATTAAGTTACAGGTAAGCAAATTTAAGCTAAAATTAAGCTAAAATAAAGCTAAATTTAATTTAAAATTTGGCTAAATAAATTGGAAATAGTGGAAAATGCTTGGTTTAGGATTTAAAAAAGAGGGGGTGGCAGTCATATGTGCTATATTTTGAAAACAATTCATTGTGTCAGTATGATTTGGAAAATCCATTGCCCAACCTCGACGCAAGGCCGTACGTGCTTATGAGGTCAATTGTAAAGACAAATAATTTTATCCAAACACAAGGGCTCCCGCAGTAAGGTTTTAGTCAGGTCACGTGGAAAATAATACATTAATAGTAAAAAAAATATAAATATATGCACTTGCCCCTTTTAATTTTAAAAAGCTTATATAAAAGTAAATCGTTTTTCTTTGTGTATGTCACAAATGACCAGGACTCAGTTGGGAAACGATGGGCGTAGGTACCGGACAAGTGGAATTTTCCAGAAGACCATGGGTAGCGTTAGATTAATTATCAGTGGTTTAAAAAAAAACAACATTGCAATAGATGCTAAGAAGCGTGAAGAATCATGAAATAGGCGTCCAGGGATAAATAATCTTGTCGGCAGAAAGTTGTAGCAATTTAAGGACCGTGGTGCGAATATCTGGTAGAGTTTATAGTCACACCAATGAAATGAAGGGGAGCAAGCTTTTTTGAGACGCAGTTAGTAGTGTTAGATTTTCTCGGACGGTCATTTTGAAGTGATAGACGCAGTGGCACTAGTCGTAGTAAAAAAGAAGTCATTTCAAGATGATTAGTGAAGGACATGTTGTAACCTAACAACTGCGTCCACATCAATGACCGCGTATACAAAGTATAGAGGGAATTTAAAATTTGTGAAGAACTTGTCGTTTTCCAGTCACCGAAGCAGATTTTATTCTCAATCACTCAATCAATGTGCTCTGGACATGAAACAAATTGCCTGAACAAGGATAGGACGGTTGTTGGGACTAAAATACGCATGGATTTTTTTTTCTAAGTGCAGCCTTTTTTCCTAGCTCTGCACATCGGCTCAGTCTGGTGGTTCATGATTTGAATTCCGTTG